ACCCAACGGCAGCTTGTATCCTGCTCTGAGACAAGCTCCTCCTTTATACCACCAGACTTTTGAAGCAGGCGTTAAGACTCTGTAGTCCCCCAGGAGTCCCACCATTACCGTCTACACTGCAAATTTCTTTAATCAGGCCAAGATTTTAAAACTTATATAAGGTTATTCATCTTGTTTTCAGAATAATTATGTACTTATTAGTTCTGACACGGCTTAATTCTAGTCTAGAGGTAGTTTATTTTAAGATAACTTGTTAAAGGTTGTATAGAGGATTTTCCAAGGAACGAGAAATCCAGCGACTGTTTGTCCTTTTTCAAATGTTGCGCATGCGTGAAACCACCCCCCCTCCCCTACAGCTCCTACGTAGAAACGCCTCCTCCCTCCTCCTCCTTACGCCAGAAACAGGTTTGTTTACAGCCGGTGCGCTGCACATGACTTGTAAACAACTAACTACAGTGTTGGTTAGGCAAGGCGGAGAAGTGAGGAGCGGGGGGAGCGGGGGGAGCGGGTGCGCGGACATTTCGTGCGCGGACGAGAAGTGAGGAGCAGGGAGAAGTGAGGAGCAGGGAGAGAGGAGAGAGGAGAGAGGAGAGAGGAGAGGGGAGCGGTGCGCGGAGATTCCGTGCCCGGAGAAGTGAGGAGCAGGGGGAAGAGCGGATCGGGCAGCGGGTAGAGGAGCAGGAAAGGGGGTGCAGAGAAGGTTGCGCGGAGATTCAGTGCGAATGAACTAGCTACAACACGCAGCAGCAAGCGGACTCTTTCTTTGCCTTGAAAATTACGTTTTCAGACATAGGATATCGCTTTTGTGTCCTGAAAAACGTTTGACTAGCTCTTGGAAATAAAGTACGTTTTCATAATAAGCAGAAGTGACCTGTCCAGGAGTAATTTGGCGACCAATGCGTCAGTCTTTAGACCCTGCGTCTGCTTCAGTCGCGCCATCGCTGGAATGAATCTATAAGAATCACCTTAGTTTGGCTTCGCTGCTTTTCCCCTTGTCTTCTTCTTTCAGCAATCTCAAAAACTGACTTTCTTTTGCGGCTAACTGCTCCTGGATTCTTGTCGCCATTGTAACAAACTTTGTGCTAACTGCGAGGAAGATATAGGTCAAAAAAAGCCGCTAAGAGCTGTTGCGTTGGTGGAGTAAACAGCGTCTGTGCGGCTTGCGTCTGTGGACTGCGTGACAGGCGTACGTAAACCACGTACCGGCGGCGCGCAGGCAAGTCAGTTACGCTAGAAACGTAGGGAGTTTGATTGACAGCCTGTCAGCTAACAGATAACGAGGCAGTGTCGTTATCTATTGGCAAATGTTTAGCCCCACCACGTCCAGAGTTGATGAATTTTTATTCTCTTTTTTTTGGTCATCATAATTACAAGGCTACTGCATCTCTATAATGCTATCATTGACAACTTGAAACAAAAAAAAAATCCTCCATACAACCTTTAAGTAAAATTATTTTGCTGCATGGACAGATAATTTCACTGCTTTTAAGTCACTTTCTGATAGATGTAAGTCTTTATATCTTAATTTTGGTCAAGCTTTTGTAAGTGTAATATACAGTGGCAGTCTTAGATGTTTTATATTACACAAAATTGACTCTTGTGAGCTTTAAGCCATGTTATAATGCTGTTACCTCCCCAAAAACATGCCTGGAGTTGTGTTTTGCTTCATTCACACATGTTTGAGTAATCTTTTATTATTAGTCTGTCTACATCTTTGAAGCTCAAAATGCTCTGTTCCACCTTGTGATGTCATCAAGTGGCAGTATTCAAGCTGACGTGATTCTAGTGAAGATGTGTGGAGGTTGTTTTCAGGTTGAGAAAAGAACTGGGCCTAAATAAGCAGGAATTTTGCGTTAGAAATGTGTGAAGGAAACAAAACAACCCCAGGTATGTTTGTGATGAGGAAACAACATCATAACATGGATCAGAAAATAGCGTAATATGGGCCCTTTAAGCTGAAAAGCCCAGGTTGGCGCTCAGTATTTTCCATTTTTAGCTCGCCGTAATAAGACTCCTCCCAGTGGAACACAAAGAGGGGAGCACCATCAAAACAGCACCTGCTCGACGATGTGGATCACTGGGTTAGTAGGAGTCGGAGATTTGCACCATATAAATCATAGCACAGCGCACGTATGCCCCAAATGTGTAGTATACTTCATCATCTACACATTTGTAATTGTAGTAGTAGTAGGGTGCGCCCCAGTCTGATACTCGTATGGGACAGAGTTGTGTTTTTTTTTTTTTCTTCATATTAAAGGCCCCATATTAGACTATTTTCTTTTCTATTGTTGTTTCCTCATCACAAACATACCTGGAGTTGTGTTTTGTTTCATTCATACAGATTTAACACACAAACCCTGCATATTTAGGTACATATTTAGGAGTTCTTCCCTCAAAACTGAAAACACACCGTAGGGCTGCTCGATTATGGAAAAAAAAAATATCTTAATTATTTTCGTCAATATTGAAATCATGATTATTGAAACGATTATTTTTTTAATTACACGATGCATTTCTCTCTCAAAAAAATCCATGCTGTTATTGAAAATTTATGCAAAACTTTCAAATTGAAAATAAATATAGGCTACAAATATGAACCTTAGAGCAGTTTTGCAATGTATAAAACATAAAAATGAATAAAATATACTTTGAACATGAAATAAGGCATAGAAAAACGTAAATGTGTCCAAAATAAACTATATATCCAGCTGTTCTACAGTCTCTATATTTAAACAATAAAATAAATATATTTATTTATAGAAAAATATCCCAAAATAAACTTTGTTAAGCTCATTTCAACTCGATTATGTGAGTTTGGAGATCGTTTGACACACAAATTGAAATCATGATCAAAATTCGATTAATTGCACAGCCTTAGTCATGCAGTAATACAGTAAGTGCTCAGCTGTGTTTTTCAACTCAATGAACCTTCACTGGAATCATTTGGATCGTTTCAGTCCTCGAATTGCCAATCTCTGTAACAAAACAAAACAAACAAAAAAACAATACAGGTATGTTTTTGATGAGGTAACATGCAATGCAGCTTTTTAGCCATGTTAGAACATGGCTAAAAAGCTCACAAGAATCCATTCTGCTTGGCGATTTAATTCACAAATGCACGCTCCTGACCTACACTTTGGCCCATGTGACCCCTGGCTGCTCCACCTCGCACTGAAACGTGAGCTGCATTCATTGGCTCTGATGCTATGGCTAATTTAAGGCTCACTCTTTCCACCAGCGCTGGATCTTTTCAAGAGGACATGGTGACAACATGAGTGCGGTTAGAGGAATTTTGCACCAAACACTTTCTCCTCGAGAACTCTGGAATCATTAGACCTGCAGTTTAGAAGTGTCATAAAACGTGATCCTTCCATACACACAAAATATGAGTTTACATTGTACTAAATATAATCTACTACCAGGGGAGGAGCTGGAGGGTGAATGGTCAATGTATCCTCATAGCTCCCCTTAAGATTTTAACTGGGCAGGTGAAAGAGAGGTTAGTAAGAGTGAAATGTTTGTGATATTATGATATTTGATTCTGTTGACACGTTCACTGTATTTATTGCTTTTTCATCTAACAATCCCACTGCTTTTTAGTGAACAATTTTGGGACTGGTGTTGCGAATTAGTCTAGGTTTTCAACACTGTGATACCTGTATGTTATTAGGTTATTTTTTTCAGACCAAGAGTTTTGTGTTCATACCTGTCAGTTTTCACCAAAACCTGTTTAAATCAGCAGACCGGACACATCACAGCAACATCACGTGACCACTCTGAGGAGGACTGCTAGTGAGCAGACGAAACTGTCAGATCTGAAAACAAACTCTTGGTCTGAAAGAAGAACCTAATAACAAAAATTACTGGAAGACCAAATGAACCTTGTTGAACTACTGTGATACCTGAATCAGACTGCTGAATTGTTAATCTGTGTTTGTGTACCTGTCCATACTCAAATAAACAATAAATAAACAAATAAAAGCCCCATTTTCATTGGACATTCAGTCTAATGTGTCTTACAGTTAGTCCAAAATTCTGCAGCACATTACATCTATTTTGTCTTCATTACACTGGCTCCTCATTTATTTTAGAGTTGATTTTAAAATATTATTGTTTGATTTTAAAGCACTTTATGGACTGACCTCAAAGTAAATTTCAGACGTCATTGTTCCTGCGCTCTGAGGTCTGAGGTCCAGCTCCAACTTGCCGACCCAAAAATGAGACTCAAAAGCGGGGGTGACTATGGGGTGACCGGGCCTTTTCTGTGGTCGGCCCAAACCTTTGGAACACATTAAGAGCGACCCTTCAGTCGATTCTGTTAAGTCTTGTTTAAAAACACACTTTTACTCACTGACATTTAACACGGCATGAGAATCGTGTGGTCCTCTGACTGTTTATTATTGATTTTATTTGCTATTTTTCTATTTTCTAATTAATTTTTAAAAGTTTTTATTGACATGCTTATTTATTTTATTCTTTATTTGATTATTTTTGTTATTTAATGTGCTAATTTATATTGCACCTACTCTGAGCAGCACTTTGGAGACTTTGCGTTGGTAAAATGTGTTATACAAATAAAGTTAGATTGGACTGGACATTCAATCTGGACTAAAAATGTTCAAATGGCAACTACACAGTGATCAAAATGAGACTACAGTAAAAACAATAATTCTATATTAGGTTTTTAAATCACTACAGGGGCTAACTACATTTAAACTTGTTAGGGGTTCAGAGTCCTTTTACACCCATAAAACGCTCTAAATTATGTTGTTTTGGTTTGTTTAAATTTTTTGGCAATCGTTATTATTTTAATCTACTCTACTCTACTTTTAGATTAATGTAACTTCTAAATTAAACTAAATTAATGTTAATAACAAGTCTGCACCTCAATGAAGAACTTGGCACCCCCACAGCTCCCCAAACCAAAAATATCTGGAACCGCCCCTGTCTAGTACTTTTTCTAGCTTCTGTGAATTTAAAGAAGTTTGGCATATGATAAACTCGAAGAAAAGGTCAAAAACACAAATCCACCGAGACAAGTTTATTGCGCCATATGAAGTTGTTGTTAGGATAGTTTGTTAGAAAGGCTACGTCAGTTTGTTTTGTATCTACATGAACCACAGTGATGTTAGCCTCCAGCAATTCTACTTTTCATGGCAAAGATTATAGGAATTAACCTTTTTTTTTTTTAAACAAGTAAGTTTGCACATTACAAAGTATACTGGAAAAATAGATACAAAAAATAAAGGCAGACATTTGAATAGTACCAGGATTCAAGCATCATGTGTTAATCTGTGCACAGCGAACGTTCACACGAAACACTAAAAAGCTCGAAAAAATGTTTCTTCTTTTACAAAATGATGATTGAGGACAAAAATATAGCCACGTATCGCATCTACTTCTGAAAAGCCTAAACAACAACGAATGAAATAAATAAACAATAAGTTAAATCAGAAAAATAACACACGATTTTGACACAGCGCTTCTTTGGAGACTTCTGTCTGATGTTCGTCAGGTTGGAGACATCAGGAGAAGCTGTAACACTGTTCACATGGGTCAGAACTTCAGTGCATTCAATTTGACAGGGCTAAAGTTTTGTCATTTGTTTACATTTTTTGATCTGGTAGATATGGGTAATTTTGTGTTGGGTTGGTATGGCAACAGTACAACGAGTATATTCAAAGATATCTGTAAAAATTTAACAGAGGAGATCATTTGGAAAGCAAAGTGAATAGGGAATATTGTCAAAAAAGCATATTTGATTATTTTTTGCATTATGATGATAACAATTCAGATGACATTTTAATTACGCATCAGGTTTGTGCTAAAATGTGTCTATAAATGTCTTGAGGTTGAGGTTCAAGTGTTGCATAAAACTTGAATGAACCATAAAAATACCACTTTATACCCTTGTTTGGAAGATTACAGTAAAGTAGATGTTTGTCTTTGTTAAAGTAATTTTATACTGCTCATTGTAGACAATATGCATGATATTCTAAATTAGCTTATCTCGAAAACAACAATTGCTATTTTTCTCATTGTATGTGCTACCACTAGTTTAGAACAACAGAACCACTCCTGCTCTTGGTCTGTGCATTTGGTTTTCCAGTAAAAGTCCATAGTTACATTTTACGCACCTATTTCATACAAAATTCAAAGCCACAATCACCAGACTAAATAATATTGAACAGAAAACCAGCGAGCAAACTTTGTTTCCAATGCAACGAATCTCTTGTGATGATTTGACTTTAATGGCAAAAGGAGAATTCAATTTGTCAACTGGGCAAAAGTTTATTTGGTCAAATATGTTTCACAGCTCATCCAAGCTGCTCCTTACGTGTCCACCAGCATTTTGACCAGAACTGAAAAAGCAGCTCGGATGAGCTGCGAAACTTATTCGACCAACTAAACTTTTGTCCAGTTGACAAGTTGAATTTCTCCTTTTGCCATGGATTCTACCTGGACGACTGAGGGATTTTACACATTTGACTTCATTATACCATACACACTTAACGGTACACTATGTCACTTTACTGGCAAAGGGCCCACCACCTGCTTGTCTCCATGGAGATTGCATTGCTATGCTTGGAATATTCCACAGTATGGACTTAAAGTTATCTATCTCAAGGACATGCGAGAATGTGACGCCACTAAACCAGGTTACAAGTCAGATTTGGGAGACGATGTATTGTAAAAATGCAAGTTTTCAAAATATTTTTGAGCAATAAAAACATTGGTAATTGAAAAAAATGAATAAATGCATTTTAGTCAACCTAACACCACACTGAGGGTTTGTCCACTACTCTCAAGGTTAACATCATTGGTAGAGCAGTTAGATCCACTGGCCTATGGGTTGGTAGTGCGTCCCTGGGCAAGGTGGAAAAAGAACTGTATAAAAAAGTAACCGTTTACCATTTACCATACTGTGGAACATCCTAGACAAAGAAATAACATATATGCATACATACGTCAGAAAAGTTGCATAGCGCCCCTTTAACCAAACCTCAAAATACCATTAGGAACTTGTAGCATACCAACCCAATAACAGGAACATTATTATTGTATATTTTTAAACATTCATTTTTACCACCAATGAGCTTATAACAGTAACAATTTGCCAGTGTTTGTGATTATCTTATCTGTTGGTAAAATTCACAGTGCCCCTTTAAAGAATTATCCAGGACGGTTAAGCGTAGCAAAAACGTAAAAGTTCACAAAAGTAGACCAGATGGAAATATTAAAAGTTCAGCAGTGAAATGAGTTGACGATGTGAAACTTTTCCTTACAAACTAACTGTCCGAAGCAGCACACATGTTAAGACTCAGAAGGGTGAAGATAGAAGACCAAAAGTTGTTTAAATCCATGTAAGACTCAAAATGTGAACACCAAGAATGTTTTTTTTTTTTTCCCTTTTTCACCATTTGAACCAAACAAATATGTGTATCAATGGTGCAGGAATGTTCAGTTTGTCACAGAAAAAGTGTGGTTCCCTTTCTCCAAAACTCAGTGCTGAAGTTAAGCCAACCTGTCCGAGATGATTTCCTCCCAGTGTCAATAGTTGTAGGGAAATTCCAGAGTTCAAAGGTAAAGTAAAGGTGCATGTTTTAGGGTCATAGGTCAGTCACTTTGTTTTCCACAGCAGCTGCGATCTGCTGGAGCCTGTATCCAAGCTGCATCTTCTGAGCTGTGGAGTCCTCTTCCAGTGCTGTGATGATCTGAAAGTGAATACAGTGGACAGGTTTAAAATAAGAAAAGGATATGATTTCCCAGAGCAATTTTTAAAAGGCCCTACTGTTTTTAAACTCCATACACCTTTACTAGACTCATCATTATAATTTCTGCCCTGGAATCTACTGAAATAAAGGTAGAAGGAAGCTGCTAACTTGAAAACTAACGCTTTTTTGAGCTTTGGAGATGTAAACAGACTAATTATAAAGGGTTATTCAAACACATGAATAAAATAAAACAACTCCAGGTATGTTTTTGAAGCTGTAAAAACTCCTCAAAACATTATAACATGACTTACAGCTCACAAGACTCTATTTCAAACATGTCAAACTCAGCCCCAGGGACCAAATTTGGCCCGCGATATAATTATATTTGGCCCGCGAAATCATATCAAATATGTATTAGAGCTGGCCCGCCGGCTACAGATAGGCTATAGAGACATTTATTATTTACATTTTTGCTATTATTTAATATTATGCTTGTTCTGGATTCAGTGTTTAAGCAAAACTATTATTAAACATTTAGTTTAATAAGAAAAGGTTTAACATATCTCGAAAGAAGAGAAAACATGCAGATGTTGTTGAAATTTTTCAGTAAATATGTAGTTTACCACATGACTTAGTCCCAGTTTTTAATTTTGGCTCTCTGTGAATTTGAATTTGACACACGTGGTCTATTTTAAATAATATATGACGTTTAAAAGGAAGGTTTTAACCATACAATAATGGTGTCATCATGAAGTTTCTCAAAGTTGTATTTTGATGTTCTCATGCATGTTTGACTAATAATGTTTTGTCCTACATTGAGGCTTTAATGTTCACTGTATTTGACTGTGTCTTACCTGGTCATAGTATTTGTTTATATACTTGTACAGTTCATTCAAAGCCACCAGACAGTTGACCTCCGCCGCATAATTCTGTATTTTAAAAGAAAATAAAACAGCATCCTCACATCAAGTTTAAATTTTCAATCATTATCCTTCATAGTTTTATATACATTGATGTTCTTATACTGACCCGTGAAAGTTCAGCCAGAGCAGAGTTCATCTCCTGGTCACTGGCTGAGATGGTCTGTCTGATGTCGGCGTAGTACCTGTGGGACAGAAAATACAATTTCTTTTTGCCGTTCTAAAGCTGATGTATTTGTGTAACTACAGTGACCTCTTGTGGTGGATTGATACGTTTTGTTAGATTATGCTTGAGCAAGTTCAAGAGTAAGAATGTACAAAGATTAGACCTTAGACCAGGGGTGTCAAACTCATTTTGGTCCAGGGGCCGTATCCAACCTACTTTGATCCCAAAGGGGCCGGATCAGAAAACTCATGGCAAATAAACCCCAAAAATAATAATAAGTTCAAATATTTGTGCAGAGAAACACAAATCTATTACAGAAATCTTTTTTTAATTGATGAACTCTTTCTTTTACATAATATTATAATATTATGAACAACCTGAAACTTTAAGAAAAATTCTATTTCAACACAATGTTTTAACATTATCTTGTATGCAAATAGGAATAAGTCAATTTTTCTTGGAAAATCCTGCACTCAGCGTCCACTTGTCTTATTTTGGACATTTTGCTGATGAGGGTGTCAGTCAACAGTCAAAACGATCGTCCTTTAAGAGCGTTTGGAAAGAGACAAGTCTTCATTTGTGCTGCTCTGGCGGGAGGGGCCACGCACAAAGACGCTGGAGATGCTGCTATCATAAACACCACAGAAAATAAACAATATTTTATATATTTTAATAGAAAATATAATTCAAATATTTAAGTAGAAAATCAGCCGAGGGCCACATTAAAGGTCTTGGAGGGCCGGATCTGGCCCCCGGGCCTTATGTTTGACACCTGTGCCTTAGACCTTGTATCTTTGCCATATTTTATAACTAAACCTTCACTCTTTTGCATATATAATATCTAATGATCTAAAGTAACTTGACCGTAACATACCACACTTATTTTTTTCTATTTTCTCCTTTTTATGGGTGTTATGGGTGACCTGGAAGATTACAATTGCTGGGTTTCAAATGGCATCACAACATTTCATTGGCCAATACTACTGAGTAAAGATGGGGGCAGCCAAAATGCAGAGTTAAAGATGCAATGTAACTTTTCTGATGGAGGATCCGCCACCTGCTTGTCTCCATGGAGTAATTACTGTTTTGCCTTGATTATTCCACAGTAGATGACTTTCGGCGACACCCTGACAGGTTAAGCAGCTTGATTTTTGAGCTCTGGGGAGAGACCCTTAAAACTAGCCTAAATACAACAAACCTGCACATATTTCGCCCCGAATTGGATTGTTAAGAAAGTTTAGAATGTCTGGCCAGCGAGAGGAGACTAGATCTACCAGAAAAGAGGACAAACAGGAACAAAATGATGAAAATGAAAAAAATGTGGCGTCGGTGCTAGAAGAGTTAAAAGACTTCAGGAAAGAGCATATGGAGGCTTCAAACGATACTAAATCTACATTAGCAAGGGTAGAAAGTGCCCTGAAAGATGTGGTTGAAAGGACAACGGAGCTTGAAGAGCATATGTCCGACACAAAATAGAGAGTGAGCGACACCGAGGATTTACTACAGCGTCAAAGCAGAGCTATTCGCTGCATGCTACAACGAGAAGCCACATTGTCCGCCAAGTGTGAAGATCTTGAATCCAGATCCAAGCGCAATAACCTACGCATCTACGGGATACGAGAAGGTGAAGATTATTCCACAGTATGGAAATATACAAAGGAAGCAAGCCTACACATTTCCTGTTTTTATGGTATTTTTGAGCTATAAAACACCTGTAATTGAACAAATGCAAGGGAAATATGTTTAATGCCCTACTGTGGAACATTCCAGGCAAATAAATAACATCTCCATGGAGACAAGCAAGTAGGGGATCCTCCACCGTAGAAGTTGCACCTCTAAATTGTAATAATACTCAATGAAAATGCCACTCACAATTTCAAATCAGTGAATTAAAATGTAAAACTGTGCATTCTTGTTTTCTTTTTTTCAACAATTCCACCGAGTTGACCTCCTAAAAGAGAATCGCCTGTTCATAATTTCTCCTAATTTACGAAGATAACCGTCCTCTCAAACTGTCCTGTTAGAGGCTAACACATGTCCAATGAGCCTTCAGAGTATCAGTGCGCTAAATGGAACCGTCTGCTGTGGACTCACTCATGTGTAGAGCCTGGAGGGCCTTTGCTCTGCCCTGATCCATGTCTGCTCCCTGTCTGCTCTGACAGATTGTCCCAGGACCCCCCCCACACCCCCGAACCCAGACTCCGGTGTGGCAGCGTGTGTGTGTGAGTGTGTGTATATACGTGTGTGTGTGCCTAAAGAGTGTGTGCGTATGTGTGCGTGTAGGCCTGGGGTTAGCAGGGAGAGTGCCTGGCATATTCTCACCTCTCCACCATCTGCTTGTAGCGAGGGATGTCTCTGGCGTACAGCAACTTGTTGATGGGAGAGTCCTGAGCACAGACAGATGGAGAAATGCAAGCGTGAACATTGGACAATTGCACGTGCTTCAAATTACGAGACGCAAAACTGAAGGGTACAAGGTATATCATTTAGGTTAGTGATTACTTTAACTTTTTTAAAGCTCAGACGACAAAAACCTCTTAGTCTTGACATCAACTATATGTTTTTCATTCTAATGTGCATCTAATAGTTTCTTTAAAAGCTTTTAGAACCAATTCAGAACAGCAAATAATGGGAGATATATTGGATTTCTACTTAAGTACTTAAATGTATGTTATACAAAAGATAAATATCACTAATAATGAAATGTAATACAATGTAAATGACAATTTTGATATCATTTATTACCAATAGGGGTCATTCTTTAAAGCTGAACCAAAATAGACAGTGAGCCTTGTCATTTCAGTCTTATACTTTTCATATTAACCCGCTCTACATGATCTTGGTGTTTTTATTTCGTTATTTTGTCTGTAATTAAGTCCTATTCCTACCTATAGCTGCTAGCCTATGGGTGACATCACACTCTCTTAGTGCACTTTTTATACAGTCTGATTACAACATGTCACTAAGAGTAATTTTTAGAAACAATTAGTGAAATCTCCATCCATCCATCTCCAGTATACTATTTTTAAGGTGACTTGAAATTTAGCATCACTGACTACAAACCGCATGATAAAGTGAGTGACTTTGAGCCGTACCCTTCCCAGTTTGTGGTCAGCGATGGTGCAGGAGTCCATGAAGGTCTGTGCGATGACCGACAGCACAGCGTCCACATGGTCTGAAGTCTGAACGTCAAAGATGAACTGGGGGTTTTTCAGGATGTTGATCCAAAACCGCAGCGGCAAAGCTGCACACACAAATAAACAAATTAATCTGAAGATATTCAAGTATGATTGGGATGTGAATATGTTTTTTTTTCCCCTCTGTGTTAAAGCATGTGACCCGCTGTTCCAAAGACAAATCACTATGAGAGACAATAAATAAAGGATTATCTTATCTTAAAGGTCTTACATTACGCAAAATTGATTCTTAAGAGGTTTGATATGATGTCATGAAGCAGTAGTTTTCAAGTTAACTGCTACGTTTTACATTAAGTTCAGTAGAGATTACAAATTCCACAGTTGAAATTACTCAAATTATTCTAGTGAAGGTGTATGAGATGTGGAGTGTTTTTAGTTTGAGGACTCAGTCTAAATATGCAGGATATATGCTAAAGATGTGTGACTGAAAACAAAAAACACAACTCTTGATATGTTTTTGATGAGGAAACAACATTACAACATAGACTAAAAAAAAGCGTAACAGGGGCCTTTTAAGATTAGAAGAAAGTTGGCGATAAAACTGATGAAGAAATACCTCTGGCTCTCTGAAAATATGAATTCTCTTATACATTGTTTAAACATTATTTGAGTATTGTTATTTCTGTAATTTGATAATAATATATGTAACAAAAAACATTTCACTTTCGCAGATTAATTCAGTGGAAAATGTTCAAATCCTCACTGTTTGTGGATGAGTCTTTTGCCAGGCTGATCATCTGTCAGCTCAGCATCAGGCCCTGTCCTCTGTCAGTGGGTGAGGCTACATTGGCAGTGCTCCACTCACCTGTTGGTTTTCCAGATGTGGATGGTCTCGGGGTCACTGATGTTGTGCTGTTGAGCCTGCTCGTCCAACAGGTCAAAGAAATACTTCACGGCTAGAGGCACGGGGCGACTGGTGCTCAGGATGGCCGTGAACAAGTCATCCACAAACTTCTGCAGTGTGCCCTATCAACAGAAGCGCAGGTCAGAGCAGAGGAAGCTGTTTGAGGAGTGGTGTAAGGTGAAATGCAATGTCAAATTTTACCATCAAGATTGTTGTGAGAAAAGTAATAAAAGTGATTTGCAATTTACAATTACTACACCACAATAAAAATGTGAAATTATACAATCACTTATTCAACTATTCTCAAGCTTTTAGCACCGTGGAGGCAATTTGAGTTTGGAAAAGGTGTATGGACTTTAAAGGGCCCATATTACTCTATTTTCTGATCTATGTTAGAATCTTTAATCGTCACAAACATACCTGGAATTGTTTTGTTTCATTCACACATGTTTAACACAAAGTCTGCATATTTAGAAAACACTCTTTTCCACCTTGTGATGTCATATAGTAATACAGGAAATGCTCCACTGTGTTTTTAAATTCCATACACCTTCACTAGAATCATTTGGATAATTTCAAGCCTGGAAAAGTCTCTGCCGAACTAAAGGTAAGGTTGTTGTGAACTTGAAAACCACCTTCATGATGTCACAAGCTGGAACAGAGCATTTTGAGCTTTGACGATAGAGAAGACAGACTAATAATAAAAGATTACCGATACATATGTGAATGAAATAAAACACAAGTCTACGTATGTTTTTTGTTGATAACATCATACTAACATGATTTAAAGCTCACAAGAGTCAACTGTGAGCAATATAGGACATTTAAATTTGATAATTACTTCAGCTACATGCATACTTGCAAAATGGACATATAAGTACCTTCATGGAGAGCAGCCTGGTGAGGTAGATCTCGGGGATGGCCTTGGCCCGTTCCCCTCCTCTCTCCCTCAGACTGCCTCTGCGGTGTTTGGGCAGTTCAGAGTCCTCACTGGCTTTCACCAAGTGCCACAGTCTCACTCCGCCCTCCTCCCCATCGTCCAGCATTGGGGTCTCTGCACAAAAACAACAAATATTTAAAATAGTTCATATGTACTTTTTAAATCTAACCATTGAACATTCAACCAAAAGCTTCAAAACAATGTTACATAATTCTAAATATGTCAGTGGAGCTCACTTTTATGTACGACACATTAGGTGAATTAGAGAACCCACATTGACCCGTGTCAGTGAATATAATACGCATATCTATGCATGTAACAGCCAACAGAGATACAAGATATTCGAAGGTTAAATAATAATAATAATAATTTCTCATAGCTAAGAAATGTTAAAGATAGAATATGTTGTTGCTATGACCAATGTCCTGTTTTTATCACACATAAATTCTACTTCTGCTACTTTTATTAAAACAGACAAAAGGCAGAACTAAAGCTTCAATATGTGTTTTTGTCATACCACGATCCCAAATAATTGTCTAATCTTTGAAAAAATTATTCCTGTATGTATGGCTGAACTAGGAATTCCCTCTTAAACAACGATATAACAAAAAAATGATACAGCACCCTCTTCTGGTAGATTTGGGAACTGCTTGTTTGCCTACATAGTACATGAACACTTGATGATGTTTTTAGTCTGTATGTGTGTATTTGTACTCACTCTCTCCAGGCATGTAGTCGTGGCTGTCATGGAGGTGGTGTTTGACATTTCTGGGAACAAGAGCCACTGTTGCTCCATCAGGAACCTGTGGAAGGATTACATGTGTTTTATGTAGGAAAAAAAAAAAATGTAGAAGTCAAGTGAGTTGAGCATGCACTGACCTTGTAGTGCTGTAATGTATTGAGACGTTTCCATGAGCCCTGGACCACAGAGGTCAAATCCTCGTCTGAAAGGATCAGGTGACCGGCCACTCCTGCACGCCATTCTGCAAACACACAGCAGTCACAGAACACATCATAACCAGACAAATGCACACTAACAGAGCTGGGAGATTAATCGGTTCCAAATATCGATATTGGGAGGTATTCTCAGATATTGGGATCATGCTGAAATTTTTTTTAAATATTTGCCGATAATATTGTTTCGATGCTGCCCCTGTTTCTGTGTGCCTATTCCGAGTTTGTCCACAGTCCATCAGAATTGCCTTTTTGAACAAACTTAATGTAGAAAAAATAGATATCAGAAATCACTCTACACATAAAAGGGAAAAGGCTGTACTCACTATGGCTGAATATCAAGTTGCTCATACAATACATACCTCGATACATAGGCCACGAAGTTTGTGCAAAGTTAATATGAAAAACACTAATACAAACGGCAAAAATGTCAACACAATTGTAGCTCTTACACAAATAATTTAGTAAAATATACTTAAAAATACTCTTGCCGATATAAAGATCCAGCAGCCCACAATATTGATACTGTATCATCAAATTAAACGATACGATATATAGATATTTCAATATTTTTGCACACCCCCAGTACTTACCCAGGAGCACAGAGTCGACATGTGGTCTTTGAGAGAAGGAGGTTCCCTTCCAGGTCTGCTCCAGGAGCTTCTCTTTCACCTGGGTGATGGTGTCACAGTCCAGCACTTTGGCTGGTACTGTCTGAGGCGCAGCTCCTCCACCTGCTGGCGCTGGCACCACTACATTCAGGGTCTGAAAAAATTATAATTAATATTTAAAAAATGCAACTATAGTGAAGTGTATTCTGTGTCCTTGTTTGATAAATGTTGATTAAATGAATTAAGCAGACAGAAATTATACGATTGATACTCTGCAGTCACATCACGCTGGAGGTACATGTCTACATGTATGTGTATTGGTGGAATGTTCTCCAGTTACCATGGAGACACAATGTACACATTAGTGAACACAGCCAAATACATTTTAAGATCATCTGAAAACTCAACAAAAAATACAACCTTGATTTAAACAAAACATTTTCAGAAGCCTGTGATTAATACGAGCATTCGCGGTCCTTTTTTGGTGTTAGATTTTCAACAAAGAGGAGAGAGTGTGACTGTAATATTATCTATGTATATGAGAGGCACTTGTTTAGTAGCATGAATCAGCTCACCTGTTGTAGTTCTAACAAAGTCAGTTCTTTATGGTCACATTGTGTTGAAAAGAAGCTCAGATTAAAATCTAACAATGCCTCAATGACATACACTACCGGTCAAAAGTTTTAGAACACCCTAATTTTTCCAGTTATTTAGTCGTGCAAGTCCAATGAAGAGCTTGAAATGGTACAAAGGTAAGAACTGAACAGCCAGAGGTTAAAAAAAGACAAAAGATAACAAAATACAAGTCCAAGCTCTGCCAAAACTACCTCAGGAAAAAAGAACAAGATGGTAAGCTTGAAAACAGTGTGTCCAGCACAGTCTCCAGACTTAAACCCCATCGAGCTGGTTTGGGATGAAGTGAACAGATGAGTGAAAACTGAGTAGTACTACAAGTGCCACACATTTATGAGAACTTCTGCAACAGACTTGGGAAGAACTTTCTGAAGATTTCTATTGTAAAAAGAATGCCATGAGTGTGTTCAGCTGTTATATCTGCCAAAGGTGGACACTTCCATGAATCAAAAGTTTAGAATACGTTTTGGTCAACAGTAAACAAAAAACTGGAAAAAGTGTGGTGTTCTAAAACTTTTGACAGTAGTGTATCACACCCCCAGGTAATGTTGATGGCATCAGCTGCAAAGTCTCAAAACTACTGCAGTGGTTTTACCAGAGTGCGGTACTCCACGTCCTCTCTCAGCAGACGGTTGTCATTTAGTGTGTATTTGGCCTTCCCTGTCACAGCGTCCACGGGGCCCTTGTCCACCTGGTGTTTGATGGCTCTGAACAGCATGTAGAAGGACTCCCCCGCAGACTCCTGACAATGACAGCGAAGGTCAGGGCAAGCTCATCTTCAATGGATTTAATAATTGTTTAAAGGGCCCAGATTACGTTGTTTTGTTGTTAGAATGTTGTTTCCTCATCACAAACCTTCCTGGAGTTGTTTTTTGTTTAATTACCTCCGCCAAGGAGGTTATGTTTTTACCGGCGTTTGTCTGTTGTTTGTTTGTTTGTTTGTCTGTTTGTCTGTTAGCAACATAACTCAAAACGTTATGGACCGATTTTGATGAAATTTTCAGGATTTGTTGGAAATGTGAAAAGGAAGAACTGATTTCATTTTGGGGGTGATCTGGAAGAAATCCTGGATTCTGAATCACTTTGAAATTTTTGTTAACATTGTGGTAAATGGGGCCAAAAATTTTGTTTCTCAATATCTCGGTTAATTATTGACCAAACCCCATGAAATTTCACTCAGGGATGGACAATGGGATCCTCTTTCATATTCCAAATTGAAAGATACGAGACAAATATTTATGGAAAACACAATTAATATGAGGGGGACTGTAGTCCTTGGCGGAGGTCTGCGCTCTCTGAGTGCTTTTCTAGTTAATACATGTTTAACACACAAACCCTGCATATTTATTAGTAAGCTGAGCTCTTCTCTCAAACTGAAAATACTGTGTTCCACTTTGTGATGTCAAGTGGTAGTAGAGGAAGTGCTCCAATGTGTTTTTAAACTCCATACTCCTTCACTAGAATCACATGGATAATTTCTGACCTGGAATTGCCAAACTCTACTAAACAAAAGGTAAAAGTTAACTTAAAAACTACCAGTGCATGACATCACAAGGTAGAACAGAGGGTTTTGAGCTTTGGAGATGTAGACAGACTAATAATAAATAACTCAAATGTGTGAATGAAACAAAACACAACTCTGGGCATGTTTTCTGACAAGGCAATAACATTCTAACATGCCTTAAAGCTCACAAGAGTCAATTTTGCATAATATAGGACCTTTAAGTGACCCCATACAATTTCCATAAGAAACTTTTATATACAGTTATGATCGACACTGCCCAACTTGGTCAGACTACAGATAAAACTCTTTTTCAGTGTAATTGTTGCATTCCAGATACACAAATTAGCAAGGTTCCTCCAATTAGGCTCTTAGGCTCAGCTTTCATCATTCTACATTAGCTTTAAGTGGCTACAAACGGTGAGCTGGATACAAAAATTTACACCCGTCTTAGTTTGAATTTCTTCTTTCCATTTTAACAGGCTAGCTTTGAACTGACTTGCAATAAACTCTGGGAAACTCTGGTCTGATATTAACAGAAAGATCTTAAATTGGAATCTATGGAGTCACTTGATGAGTTAAAAATTGTAAAATGTGTGGTGACCATGATGTGTGTATGTTTTACTTGAGAGGTGCCAATGGTTTTATAAAGTGAAATTTGGTGATTTGACTGTTTTGTATTGATTGTGTTGGCAGCTCCTTGACCAGGTCTCTCTTGAGCTCCTAGTTAAATAAAGTGTAATAAAGTTGTTTTAGACTGTGAAAATGTGGAACATACCCTCAAAAAAGTATACAGACATATTGACATCCAGTTTGTTAACAGCTTTTCAACCACTGATTCAGTCCTGTAAAAACACAAAGTATGTTAAATATTTTAAATATTCTCCCTCTTTAAGGTGCATTGTGTAAGTTTTCTGGTGGAGGGTCCGTCAAATGCTTTTCTCCATGGAAATGTTTTGTTTTGTCTGGAATGTTTCACAGTGTGGTATTAAACATTTTTGTTTTCATGGAGACCAATCAGCCCATGTTATAGGTCAGATCTGAGAAGAGGCAACACCACTCACAGTCAGAATGTACATTTTTCTCTGTATTTGTGATCTATAAAACTACCTGTAATTTAATAAATGTAAGGTAGATGTGAGAGACATAAGTAATTAATTCACAAGGTGCATTTGAATGCCCCGCACTGGTTTTGTATGTGTGCCTTCAACTAGACTGGAGTGTGTTTTTGCTGCAGCAAGGCACGGGAAGAGAGTGGGGAGCTGTTGTAGCCGGTTTAACTTTTTTGTGGTGTCATAATAATATGTATCCCTTGTGGAAAAGACAACCTAAATAATTTCTGTAGCTAAAGATCTGCAACAGAATTCTTTAATGTCATACTGTGGAACATTCCAGGTAGAGCAATGACATATCCACGGAAACACGCAGGTGACAGACCCTCCAACAGAAAAGTTGCACAATACACGTTTAATACTGATAGCCATGCCATACTCTTACCTCCGCAACATGAGTTTGGGGTTCTTGGCCACGTACTGCTCCACCAGATCATTGAGTAGTGTTTTGAGGATGTCGGTGAAGTATTCCAGTTTACCGTGCAGAGCAACAGTGAGAAGAGACGCCACATAAGCCCTGTCCCGGGGTGAAAAGGTCCTCTGTACCTCCAACGTGTGGATAAACTACAGGAAGAAAAATGTCAATTGAGTAAATTTTATTAAAACATAAAATAAGTAAACTATTAAAATTCAAATTGAAAGGCTCAAAGGCTATCCACTTATTTTTATATGTAGAACACAGTTTGCCGTTGTTGAGCATTATTTACTAGTGTTTGCACTGGGACACAAACATCACATGTTGTCAGCGGTATCAAAGGTGCACTCTGTAACTTGTCTGGTAAAGGGTCCGTCACCTGCTTGTTTCTATGGATATGACATTGTTCTGCCTGGAATGTTCCACAGCATGACATTAAACAAATTTACTTTACAAGATGTGTGTACAATCCCTCAGTCGTCCAGGTAGAGTCCGTGGCAAAAGGAGAAATTCAACTTCAAATTTCGACCGAATAAACTTTTGTCCAGTTGACAAATTGAATTTTTCCTTTTGCCAGATTTTCTTTACATTTATTCACTCACAGATGTTTTTTTTTTCTAGCTCAAAAATACTTTGAAAAATGGGCATTCTGACTGTAAGCAGGGTTGCCTCTCCACAGACCTGACCTCTAACTTGGTCTGGTTTGGTCTCCATAAAGATTGAAAGGTTTAATATCATTCTGTGAAACATTACAGACAAAGAAATAACATCTCTACACTACAGAGAAAAGCATTTGATGGACCCTCCAGCAGAAAAGTTACACAATGCACCTTTACATATTTGTTAATTTTAGCTTGAATCTGCAACCTCATAGAGATAAAACTGGACAGGTAGTAGTGACACTAACAGTGAGGTTGTCAGGCATTATTGTGGACAGAGCTTATTGTGTTTGCTGATCATTCTGAAAGTTTGAGAATAAAAAATGACCTTAGTGAGGAAGAGTTTACTGTTGAGTAGATTGGAGAGCTGGACCAGACCCTGCTCCACGGTCTGTCTGCGGCTTTCAGGAACATCCAGGTCTCGTCTCAGAGGCGACTCCTGGTGGCCGGGGAAGAAAATACGCTCTGCATAAGCTCTGTAATCCAGGAAGGGGATACCAGAGCCCACCAGGTCACTAGACATGTCCATCATCTCAGTCATCAGGTCTATGGGAACACAGAGCAGCAAAGATTTTAACATTAATATAACACAATATTACACCCTGATCTATCTTATAATGTTGTTTCATCATCAAAAACATACCCAGAGTTGTGTTGTTTTTTTCATTTACACATGTTTAACACACCTGTGAAAACACTAGGATCCACCTTGTGATGTGGTAATACAGGAAGTGCTCCACTGTGTTTTTAAACTCTATACACCTTCACTAGAATCATCTGGACAATTTCACCCCCAGGAAATTGCCTGCCTCTTGTGAACTAAAAGTAAAAGGTAGCTGCTAACTTGAAAGCTACACTACTAAATGACATCACAAGGTGGTACAGAGCATTTTGAGCTTTGGCGATGTAGTCACAATAAGAAAGAATTACTCACACACATATGCATGAAAAAAAAACACAACTCCAGGTATGTGTTTGATGGGGTAACATTATAAAATGTCTTAAAGCTCACAAGAGTCAATTTTACGAAATATAGGACCTTTAAAAGTTTATTTATTTGTCTGTTTAATTTATTTTTATTTAACCTGTGAATTCTTTCTTGCAGCGGTCTCTCACGCTAGTCTCCAGATTCTCCAGCTGGATCTGCACTTTCTTGTAGTCTCTCATTGCTTGTTTACTCTTCCTCCTATTGGCGCATCACACATTTCATATTAGTCTATATAATACATTTTTATATATTCTAAGACATACAGTAGACATAACTGTACCTGTATATGAGCACTATGATGAGCACGATGAGAGCGACAATTGAAGCTCCTACTCCGACCCCCACCTGAGCCTCCAGGGGGAACGTGGACTGGGCCTGACTGTCATACTGCACTCTGCCCAGGGAAAAGTTTAGGTTCCCCATTCTCACCTGGAATAATTAGAAAACAAATGCAAAAAAAACATAATAACACTTTTCGGCAGGCTGATTTTGTCACTGCAGCAAATATGCTGAATTAAAACAAAACTTGCTTTGTTCTTTTTTTTTTTTTTTTGGTTAGATAGATCAGCGCAATAATAAGCCAATAATCCCAAAAAGAACAATATATTGTCCCTGATGAGTAACAAATTGGTCAAAAATAGGGACACCTGGGACATTTCTTGTATAAAACTGGGACAAATCAGTGCTTTTGGATAAATCTGCTGGGACAGGGGACACAGGGCTCAAAACTGGGACTGTTCGAGTAATATAGGGACATCTGGTCACCCTAGTCCAGCATAGACTGCATATAAATGGACATGGATAACTCACTAGCCACTGCGTTCCAAATAGAAAGTAAGTGTGGGGGTGCTTCCAGCTCTATTGCCTCAACTTTACAGAGAAAAATAGTGAAGACTCTTTCTGTAACTGCTGTAGTAAGTCTCATCATTTTGGTGTTTTTATTTTGCTATTTAGTACATAAATAAAATCCAATTCCTAATTCCCAACTCAGCTCCTAATTTTAGCCTCGAAAGCTTCATGGACTGAAACCAAATGCTCTGGGTGAAATCACAAAGCCTTAGTCCGTGTCTTTATACAGTCTTTGGTCTCCACCAGTAGATCAAAAGAGATTATCCTGTGAACTTGAAGTTATTGATCCGATCTATAAAAAGTGTAGTTGTGTTTCCCTCACTGTAAATTCAGGCAGGCTCTCCAGGTCTTGCTTCTTTCCAGAGGACACAGAGGGCAGATGCGCCGGGGGCTCACAGTACAGGTGATTGTGTGTCAGAGTCTTCACGGCACAGACCCCCCCTCCTATACGTGCCTCCACCTCGTGTTTGAAGATGGCCAGGTCCAGGTTTTCTCCCTAAAACACACCAAGATATGGTAATGGTATATTTTCATGATTGTGAATAATTTTAAATCAGGTGTAGTCAACATTGGCAAGCAAGCTGGTCATTGTTTTTTAAAGATATAAGTAAATAGGGGAGTTCCTAAGTAGGAAACTAGTAGCAAAACAACTATATTGAGAAGGATTTTTAAATACAAATATCCTTATCAAAATAATTTTCTGTAATCTGTACCATCGAAATTAAGTCATTATGATTTTGCAGGCAGGCTATCAATCTGGGAGCAGCAATGAAGAAAAAAGGCCACTATGACTTCTGACTTTTTTCAGTGTACAACCCTGTAATGGGGGTTTGAAAGACTTTGAAATACAACATGAAATAAATAGTCCTGTGTATTTAAAATGTGTTTACCTCCACAGAGATGATGCTGCCTGGTTTGTGGTGGAAGGGTTTGTTGGGGTTGTTGTGGTTCAGAGGATAGAGTCTGGGGTTGGGCTCATAGCTGAAGGCCTCATTCCCCACAGCACTGAAGTCGAAATGGAGGCTGTCCAGCAGGAAGTGAACTTTAACCTTTGCTCTTCTGGCTTCTGGTCCCACTTCTGGGGTGGGACACAAGATGAGGGTCGAGCTGTTGACTGTACAGCGAGCCTCGTACTGGAACAGGGAGAAAAGAAAAGGGTTACATTTAAAATTTTTATCTTTTTGTAAATGAAATGTGTCATAATTTTTTTTAAATAGAGATTTTATAGAGAACTGCTTGTTCTTTCTGGGATACTGACTGTAGCTAATTACATTAAAATTAATATGGGAGTAGAGGGCAAGCTTCATTTAAGGCACCAGGTTGCATATAGTAGAAAAAATGTGTGTAAGGAGTAAAAACATTTAATAACATACTATAGATTTCTATTGTATTCAGTTGTCATTTTGTAATACTGGAGGGAGTACCTGTTTGACCTGACAGAGGGCGCCCTCGGGACAGTCTGCCTCTGGGACGATCCTCCTCCACCTTTTCAGGGAGTTCTTATGGAGGTGTTTCCGGTCTTTCTTTCGCACCACGTTCCGTCTCCTCCTCGGGGGGAGAGTATCCAGGGGGCTCAGAGTCACACGGATTTTAGGCTCCTGGACCACATCCAGATTCTGACCAGACACTCTGATAATCCTGCCACCACTGAACAGCGAGAAAGAAAGAATTATTAAAGCACCTTAAATAAAAACTACAAATGTTAACATTAATCACAAACAGTTTAGTATAATTTACTGAGAGCAATGCATAAAATAAAAAAATATAAATTCAATAAATTCAATCTAAACTGCAATTGCAACTTTATTTATAATGCACTTTAAAAACAACAAGTTGACCAAAGTGTTACAGAATATATTTAAATAAAAACAATAAAACTAAATATGACTAAAATCAGAATCTAATAAAACAATAAAACAAAATATGAATACAAACAACTAATAAAATGCCAACATCTCAAAATGTATCAAAAGTCAAAGTGAATAAGTGCGTTTTATGAAGAGATTTACAAACAGGGACAGAAGAGGCTTGTCTAATGCGCAAAGGCAGCTCATTCCACAGTTTTGGTGCAGCCATCGCAAAGGCTCTGTCTCCTCTGAGCTATAAATTCCATTAGAGCTGATAAAATTACATAAAAAAATATTGAGCATACATTTTTGTTGTGCATAATAAAAGACAACATTGCCACATGAGCACTAATTGTTATAATGCTACATGGTAAGCTCCAACATGGGATCCTGTTATATTAATGTAATATTTGTAACAATAAAATCAAACAATGCATAAATAAAAGTCTTTTGTCACCCTTATTATTCACATTACAGAAGCTAAAAACAGTTATATGATCTCAAACATACTAAACATAAAAATGTAATAAATATGTCCTTTATTTTTGACATATTTGCAAACACAGATTACCTGAAGAAGCTTTTGGACGGGGCTGCACTGGTGATGTTGGGGTTGGGGGTGTAATGATAGACCAGGCCCTGCAGATGGCGCTCCGCACTTCCAAATCTCACGGTGATGCTGTGTTCCCCTGTTCTGTTACTGCCCCGGGTCACACACTGGATCTCATCATCCAGGATTTTCAACCTGCACACACAAATCCACAGACAAATAAATAACTCTATGAATCCTAAAAAGTAGGTCACTCCACTGGATGTATCACAAGCAATTTTATTTAAACCGCTAACCCAGACTAACCCAGAACATCGCTGTGCTGACACTTACACCAGACAGGGCACTCCTCCAATCAGAACGCTGGCTTCACTGGGATGCCCTGTCCGCAGACGCCGGCCCCTGATGGTCACAGACGAACCCCCGGCTTTAGGTCCTCTATGCGGGAATATGCTGTTTAACACTGGGTCCTGGGTAAAGAAAAAAAGAAAAATATGTATGTGTGTGTATATTAAATGTTATAATATTGTTTCCTCATCACAAACATTACTGAAGTTGTGTTTGTTTCATTCACACACACAAATCCTGCATATTTAGGCTGAACTGTTCTCTCAATGTCAAAACAGGTAATACAGGAAGTGCTCCACTGTGTTTTTAAACTCCATACACCTTCACTAGAACCATTTGGATAATCAGCCCTGGAAATTCCTATCTCTAATGAAATAAAACGTAAAAAAGTAGCTGTTAACTGACAGACTAATAATAAAGGGTCACTCAAACATGTGTGAACAGGTATGTTTTTGATGAGGGAACAACATTATAACATGGATTAAAGCTCAAGAATCAATTTTCAGTAATATAGGGCTCAATGAGTCTCAACATCTTGTGATGGGTGACATTTTGAAGACTTTTAATCATTCAAAAGATATAACATTCAGTTTTAAATTGTTAAATACTATGGCGTTAAAACAAATTTTTCATCAGTATGAAACTAATGGACAGGTCTTTGTGAACATGCCTGGTGATATGAATTTTGCACTGCTCAAAATGCCCAGGTCCCAAATATATAAATCTAATATATATTTCATATACTCAACGGTAATTCGATATTGTAATTATGACAGGTCTACAAATACCCCAAATGGAAAACCTTCAACCAAAGCATACTAGGTTAACTCATTTTAAATAAACACATCATTGCTTTTGTTAGGGACATCTCAACATACTATAGGTCTCTAATGTCAAAAAGAGAGGGGGATTAGATAAAAGTGATATTGAAAGATTAAGATATGAAAATGATTGTTGTATAATAGCAAAATCAAGGGCGCATTAACTTTTATGATCCTCACATCATCGCATGCTATAGTCTGATCCAACAGGAGGTGCACAGAGATTTATGGTTTCCAACAGCTATTTTGATTTATAGAGGGTCAGGATTATATCAGTATTTCACAGTGGCAGTGCACAGGAAGTCCTCAGAGAGTCAGATGTGAGTCTAAACGGAGCGTGTCAGTGTAGCTCATTACAGCAGTGAGGGAAGTCCCGTGCCCTGGTCCACACAACACTAAACAAAATACTGCTGAAATACATAAAGCAGGCTTATCAAATAATAGTACCCGTAAATGAAAATGCCAACTGTGTACTACACTTTCCCTGGTAACAATAAGTGGTGGAACATAACAAAGTGAAAGTAGTAAAGTACAAAACTTTATTATAAATTTTAGGTATGCATACATTACATAAGTATATTTTATACTTATTACTTTTGCTTCACTACATTTGAGAGAAGGTATTTGTACTTTCTACTCCACTACATTTTTGAACTCATCCGAAAAGTCAAAATATATTTATTATTGTGTGAGACCTACTGAAAACACTGCAGGGTTCATTTTTTAACCAGGTCATAATTTGAGCAGACAAAAATACACAAATAGAAATGAATAAACAATTCAGTTATTTCTGTTAAAATAAAATTAAACACAAATCTATATCAAAATCACTATATTTGATGGCTTATTGCATCTCCAACTGCTCAAAATACTTTTACTTTTTACTCTTTAGTACAATACATTTTCAGACGGGTGCTTTAAAACGTTTACCTTTTTCGTGTGATACTTTTTACTGAAGATTTTGTTTTGTTTTGTTTTATTTTGGCATCTGTACTTCTACTTAAACAAAATTGAGTACTTTTCTACCACTAACAACAACCAAGATCCAAACCTGGTCTAATACAGGACTACTTTAGGTCTAAAGAAGGACTAAACCAGGTCTAAATTGGGACTGCACACTTTCTACACTAATTCTAAATAAGGACTGATGCAGGAGGACAAAAATGTAGATTAAATTTACTCCAATCTCAGCAAATATTTGAACTGTACAGATATCCATTTACCACTTCAAGATGCTTGTGTACTGCCCACACATACCATAGTTTGGAAGCCACTGATCTATACCATTATTTATGACATGAATGCATCTAAATTTAGTTTGGCTGTGAGACAGTAATCCTTAGAATCTATAGAACGTATTTTACCTGGAAGCTGAAGATTTGTGGCGACAGGCCTAATCCTCCTCCTCTCACTCTCACAGAAGCATGGCCACTTCTCTCTCCTCCGCTACTCGAAGTCTCACACACAATCCTGGAAAACAACACAACCAGGCTTGTCATGATCATTATTTTCTATTTTTGGAGTTAGTATTTATTGTGTGTACATTTTTTTTTGCACTACTGGGAATTTTTGGGTTATTTTTTTGGCTATGCAATAAGATTCGAGTTGTAGAAGGTTAAATTTATGACTTATATGACTCTTTACAGATGCAAACTAAGTACTGAAGTGTTTCATTCTAGTATTTTTATTTTTATTTTTTTTACAATATTGTAGATTTAGAATAGTTTTTGGTTGTGGGACTGTCACCTGCTTGGAATGTTGCACAGCATGACTTTAACAGCTCTACATTACATGTATTCAATTACAGGTGGTTTTATAGCTCAAAAATACTTTCTGACTGTGAGCGGGGTCGCCTTTCCACAGATCTGACCAGTAACTTGATCTCTTCTTGATAAACCTTTAAATCTGCTCTTCGATTTTTGTGTCAGTGGCATAAATCAGTTTCAATATTTGTCTACATTTACATTTACTAGCAAAATATCACATTTCACATGTTGTTATCATGACAGGCCTAAACACAACATCTTCATACTGTTCTCGATTAAAGAAGTATATTTTCCTTATGACCTCTTGTATCTAGCCGAGATATTTTTTTTATTATGACTTATTTTCAATTTTATTTTGACTTGTACATATACATTTATATTATTATGCCTTATTTGACACCTGTCTCTTGCTATCTTTTTTTGCTACTTATTTAGAATTGATTGTTACCATTTATATTTTTTTTTTGTCTTTGTTATTATAATATATTGTGATCTGTGAGCTACTGTGTCATGTAGTGGGTTCATGTGGATCAAGTCTAAGTCATTTCTCTTTTCTCACTTCCTTCTCCTTGATTCTGAAGGACATGGGTATGGATGTCCCACCCACAGAGGAGACACAGGGAGGAGACAGGATATAGACTCCTCACTGAGACCAGTAAAGTTTGACTATTTTCTCTGCTCCTGAAACCTCCTTCAGGTTTGCTCCTTCCTTCTGTGGTTTACTTTGGGACACCACTTAATATGACACATCTGTTTGACAGCTGAAAAATGGAGGATTGAGCAGGGGAATCAAGGTGAAGGAAGTGAGGAAAGAGAAATGAGACACGGCCTAAGTCTAAGAATGAAGCAGAAGTGAGTCTTACCTGGAGGACACCTCGTATCTGCTGTGGATGACGTGGCAGGTGACTCCAGCCACAGTCACAGAGCTCTCGATGTCCTCCGCTCTCTGCCCCAGGTTAGAGCCAGAGATGGTCACCACTGTGCCCCCCTCCACCGGGCCAGACACTGGGTCCACCTGCAAAATGTAATGTGAATAGTTGGGCATGTTTAGTTATTGCAGTTCTCAGAAATGATAATAAATTTAATTTAAAAAAAATGTAAAAAAATATATATAAATGTATATATTTGATCACATACTATTTATCAAAGTTTCACAGAATCTGTCCAAAGCCTCCACATCCTCCCGGTGTAACATAGCTCTTTGCAAACCACAACTCTTTAAGCTTCTCTATTGTGCTAGTGATTATCTCTGCTTTATCTGAACAAAAGTGGTAGAACAATGGGGACTTTTTCCAGTTTGAATAGATCTACTAGAAAAAACTGTGTCAGACCACAAAATGCAAAACTGTTCACCACAACAAAACCAGTTCCACACAATATGAAAATGCAAGTCTGATTTCGTAATTTTTATATAATGTTCTAATTTTGTCATTTAAAGTTGTTTTACAGTTTGGTGTACGTATTAACTTAAAGATCCTATATTATACAAAATTGTCTCTTGTGAACTTTAAGACAGGTTATAAAGTTGTTACCTCATTAAAAACATATCTGGAGTCGTTTTTTGTTTCATTCACAAATGTTTGAGTAACTCTTTATTATTAGTCTGTCTACATCTCCAAAGCTCAAAATGCTCTGCTCCACCTTGTGATGTCATGAAGTGGTAGTTTTCAAGTTATCAGCAACCTTTTTATCTTTTGTTTAGCAGAGTTTGGCAATTCTTAGGGCTGAACTTATCCAGATGATTCTAGTGAAGGTGTATGGAGTTTAAAAAGACAATGGAGCATTTCCTGTATTACCACATGACATCACAAGGTGGAACAGAGTGTTTTCTGACTGAGATATGTCTAAATATGCAGGGTTTGTGTGTTAAACATGTATGAATGAAGCAAAACAAAACTCCAGGTATGTTTTTGATTAAGAAACATTATAACATAGATCAGAAAATACCTTAATATTGGCCCTTTAATTAACATCATGACCATTCTGCAAGTACAGTCCCTCCCAATCATCAAAATTAAACACCAACTACTAAAATATTCCATCTACAAATCAATCTACACAAGTCTGTTCTTAAAATCACATGTTGAAGCCATTACATTATGTTGAAAATGCAGTTCTGTGTTAGACTTACAAAGTGAATGACAGGTGCTGGGCAGGAGTGCTTGACCTCGTCCGAACAGGAGTCTCTGTACACACATCTGGACTGGACCGCTCCCCCACACCACACGCAGCTGTACTTATGGTCAGCGGTCCGACAGCGGCTGCAGTCTGACCGGCCCACCGAGCAGTTAAACAGAGTCACTGCAGGAGAGAGAGACAAAAAGAGAGATACTTTATTGATCCTGAGGGAAATTCTGCAACTGCATTTACACTGTGCCTCTCAGTCTCCTTTGTGTCTCAGTCAAAGGTTTCAGTGCAGTTTAACAGGAGGACTGGTCAAGTAGGGTCAGCAGATCCTGTGGAAGAGCCAAAAGTGTCTCTCCTCTGTGCCCTGCAGCCTGGACATCACATCGGTTGCTGACAAAATAGTCCCTCAAAGTGTTTCTTCTGGAAGATCTTCTGCCAAATTTGTTGCCACATACGGTGTAAAAAGTCTGTGGCATCTCAAATATCCACAACTAGCTCCTTACCTAGACTTTTGCACGATCAGGAAACATGATTCAGGAGATTACAGAAAATATGACAAAATATGACACTAACCATGCAAATTCTCAAAACTGTCGATAAGGAAGTGGTTCTTGCGTCTCACGTTGATAGTCGCCTGATACTCCTCCGTCAGGGATGAATAGTCATACTGGAACACAGCAATGAAAAGGATCAAAAAATTAATTGCATAATCATCTACTTATAAAAAGCATGGAACAATGGCACATCAAATTATATTTTTCTATCATAAACCATCATGTTATGAGATTAGATCATAAACTGTATACAAAAGTGGACTAAGGGAGTGTGATGTCATCCATAACATTTGGCTCCAGTTAAATGAAGATCACGAGGCAAGCAGCTGTAGGAGTGAATCTGGAGTCCATATTATGAATAGGAATTAGGGTAAGCTATGTCCATTTACATATAAAGTTTCTATATTTATACAGTCTATAGATTAGGTCCAAACCAGTTCATTCACAGAAGAAGTTAGAAGAGTAATGAACTAAATGTATTCATCTATCCACTTTCTTCCGCTTTTATGGGGCCTGGTCGCGGGGGCAGCAGTCTAAGCAGGGACTCCCAGGCTTCCTGCACCCCAGCCACTTCCTCCAGCTCCTCCAGGGGGACCCCAAGGCATTCCCAGACCAGCTGAGAGACATAGTCCCTCCAGCGTGTCCTGGGACTAAATGTATTCTACTAAATCGTAAACTGGCTTCAAAACCATTAAACAGCAACACTGGATCCTATTTTATGATATAATAAAGTCATATCATAAACATACCAAATCTTAAAATAAGCCCATTGAAACTGTGAATAATTATTTTATCAAAAATAGAACATTTGACAGTTGTTTCTTTATTTGGAGTTCAGACCTGGTGGGGGTGACAGGTGATGAAAAACACAGAGGGCTGGTTCTGGTCCTGTTCCACAGACGCCTCCACCACCACCGAGCGATTCTCCACATCCAACACACACTCGTACTGCAAACTCTCATCCTATGAACCAGCAGACAGGGTCATATAGTTAAATAACTGATACAAACAACCACATAAAAAAGATAAGTAAGACCAGTTGTTTTTGTTTTGTCTTCGCTGTTAATATAACTGTTAACCATTAAATTGTATTGGGTGATGATAAATATTTAATCAGTTCTTTATCTACCAACACATTTCTTAGACCAGTGTTTCCCAAACTTTTTTTTCTGGAAACCCTTATTTTGAAAGTCACCAACTTTCATGGAACAAGTCAATAGACATTTGTAAATCAAAAAATAAAGGTGTATTTGACCATTACTGAACATTATTGAGGATATTTTATTATTGACTGAGTGATCATGTCTCTCTGAACAATTAATAATATTACTCAGTAACTGAACCAGCAAGGTCTCCATAAGTATCCTGAAGTGCACTGACCTTTGCTGATTTATCACCCTTCTTTATGGATAACCAGACAAGCATTTCTCAGCTTTAGCTGCAGGAACACTTGTTGAGGGTGGGCAGATAGAATGTGCTGACTCACTCACACTACTCTCATGTGTCAGAACTGTATATTGCAGACATACATACAGATCGTGACAAGGCGCCCCCCAAAAAAATCTCTTGTGACCCACCTGACGGTCGCGACCCAGTCTTTGGGAAACACTGTCTTAGATGATTCCATTTCAGTGTATGCATGTGAACAGTTTAGACGTTTACCTGAAACAAGTGCAGGTGCTGTCCCACCAGAGTGATTTTCCTCTCCACGTTCACGGGCAAAAAAGAGGAGTCCTGGACCTTATCCACACACGGACACTCCTGCTCAACCATGACGCACCATTAGAGCACAATTATAGGCAAAAAAGACAAGTGCCCCAGTTTAATCTTACAATACTGACTGGATAAACAAGTAACAACTAGCAAGAACTAATTTTGTTATTACTGTTTTATCGTATCAGAACCACCCCTTGGCGGTCACCACTGTATGTTTTTGGTGGTATGCTTTTTCTTCATAATTCAATGGAGGCAAATAGCAGACAAATTATCTTTTCAGAAATATATATACACACATATATATATATATATATATATATATATATTTATTTTTTTTTTTTTTTTTTTTTTTTTTACCGCAGGTACTGTCACACTGTCAGAAATAAACAATATTTTCTAGACTACTTCACAGTCCAACCAGCATGCTGACTCATGCAAACTATTCATACACTTCATGCAAACATTTACACACCAAGCAAACAAGCAACTCTACTAACATACTAAATAATTATGATCAAACTACGGTAATAAAACAACCAACAAACAACAGGAGATAATAAAACCTACTATCAATCATGTATATATGAAGAATGACATCTATGTGCTAGTTTGTAGGTTAATTTGACTGGGTGGTTGTAGTTGGTGAGCAATGGCATGGAGTGATAGTAGAGCTGTGTTAGTGCTGTGGAATCTGAAATCTGTGTCAAGATTTACATGAATTAAAATGATGTCAGGTAGTGTAATTATTAATTTATTTGTTTTTTGTTTTTTTCAAAAGTTAAAACTATAGCATCATTATCAAAGAAAATGATTCTACTTTAATGTATTTTATTTTTCAGTGGTTCTGTTAACATAGATACTACTTTCATAAGCTATTTTTCTTATGCCAGTGGCCACAATTACTGTTCTTCTTTTGTGCTAAATTATCATCTAACCAGGCACAAATTGCTTGAAAACTGTGAAATATTATATGTACTCAGATCCAGATCCAAATTCTGAATTTAAGTAATTTTAAGTATATACAGCAACATATTAGCTCGGACATTTGTGAATTTAATTAGACTAGTATACAAATTTATTTATTTTTTTATATATTTTTGATATTGTGTATATTTTTCATTTAAAGGGACAGTCCGTAATTTTAGACATAGGACCTCATTTCCTAGTTAGCCACAGTGTTAGAGACGTGTGGAGACACTTTTTTAAATATCCCATCCAGTCCTTGTATTTGCAGAGGTCGCTGGTGCTAGACTAGTGCATGTCAATGGCCATAGTTATCCTGCTACTAAAAACCCACTCCACAAAACACCCGAAGCAAATCTATTATTACTCCAAACTGTCAATATGAATGTCTGTGTTGATAGAATAATGTTATTTTAATGTTATTATAATGCATGAATCGTCGCATGTTGAGGGACTATTTTCTCAGCAGCAGTGGAATTTTACTTGCTGGTAAGATAGATGCTAAGTGATATCAGTCCACCACTGCCAAGCTTTCTATCAGGAAGTACAACTCGCTGCTGCTGCTCAGACATAAATCCTTCAAATGCAAGGTTGGTTTCACTTCTAAAATTATTCTTTCTACACAGACATTCACATCGACAGTCTGGTGTAATCATAGATTTGCTTTGGGTGTTTTGTGGAGTGGGTAAGGCCATTGACATGCACTAGTCTAGCACCAGCGACCTCTGCAAACACAAGGACTGGAGGGAATATTTAAAAAAGTGTCTCCACATGTCTCCAATACTCTGGCTCACTAGGAAATGAGGTCCTATGTCCGAAATTCCAGACTGTCCCTTTAAATATGTTGTTTTAGTGATCTTTTTTGCACACACGTCTTCTCCACTCACCCGCAGGTATGTCTCATCAGTAGAATCTGCATGGTAACCCACTGGCATGTCTGATATGGCTTCACTGTCAAGAGGTGGTTCATAAACTTCTTCCATTGGAGCTTCTGACACTGTAAAGATGAGCGCATCCTTCTCTTCCTCTTCTCCACTCTTGTCCCACTCTTTTACCCAGGCCTCTGTCCCTTCCAACACCTCCACACCTTCTACTTGTCTATCCGCCATGGTTGTAAAATCTGGCAGAATGATTATTTCTGAAGATGTAGTGGGGTTAATACCAGATGAAGAAGACCCCATAGTTTCTAGCAACTTTAATTCTTCGTGACCGCTAGTGCTGCTGGGTAACGTAGTCCCAATGGTTGCATTCACCACAGTTTCCTCTGTTTCAAATGGCGCAGCTGTGGTTTCTTGGCCTTCCTCCTCCTTATTTGCGAGAGTAGCCGTAAATGTTATTGTTTCTTGGGTCGTAAAGGTTTCATTAGCGGTGATAAAAGTTAAGTTGGAGTTTTGTGTTGTCATGGGAACTGTGGTCACAATGGTTGTAGCTTCCATTGTTTGCGTAGTAACTGGAGGCGGTACTGTTGATGTAGTAGTGGTCATTAAAACTGTAGTAGCAGCAGTAGTAGTTGTAGTTGTAGTAGAAGTTGTGGTAGTTGTAGTAGTCGTAGGCAGTGTTGTTGGTGTACTGGTAAGAGGTGGCATGGTTGGTGTGGGCGGATTGAACTTGAGGATGGAAGGAAATAAAAAGAGGAAGGGGAAGACAAAAAACAAAAAGGTAGAAACACGAATGACAACAACATAATCAAACAGAAACAGAATGGATCACCGAACATGCGTCTGACAGAGGGAGCATGCACCATTCAGCTAAACGGAAAAGGTGATATTCTGGGGTTTGTCAGGAAGGCTTATATATGCAGTACCAATATGTTTATAGGACCTATATTACGCTATTTTCTAATCTATGTCATAATGTTTCCTCATTACAGACATACTCAGAGTCATGTTTCGTTTCATTCAAACATGTTTAACACACAAACCCTGAGTTCTTCACTAAAACAGAAAATGCCATATTTCTTTTTAAACTTGTGGAAACTGTTTATCATATTTGTACAAACACCGCTGCTGTGAATCTTAAACACTTTAAAAGGGAGAAAATACAAAATGAGTGCTTTAATGTGTTGCATGGATCTGCTTCAAACATTTCTGTAACATATAAGTAACCAGAAACTGCGAATGAACACCTCATTTACCAGAGTTGGGGACTTGCAAGTCGTGACTTGGACTCGAGTCAGACTTGAGTCACTATTTTTTTGACTTGAGACTTGACTTGATGAAATAGACAAAGACTTGGGATTCAACTTGGACTTGAAGGTCAATCAATGACTTGGGACTTGACACGGACTTGAGGCCAGTAACTTGATGCTTAGATTAGTTGACAAATTAACTGTTATTAAGCACTCTTAAATCTTCATTCTTTCTATTCTGGCCGTAATGACTTTTTTATGTACAATTTAGTTTAAACTTACTATAAATTGCAAAAATTTAAGCTATATTTGGTTCTTTGGTTTAAAGACTTGAAATGACTTGAAGCTCAAAGCAGACGACTTGGACTTAACTTGAAGTGACTCGAGACTCATCTTTGACTTGGGACTTGACTCAAACTTGAGGTCAAAGACTTGAGACTTACTTGAGACTTGCAAAACAACAACTTGGTCCCACCTCTGTAATTTACATTATGGACATTTTGTATTGGTGACTTCAGTTTGTCTTGTATTTCCTAATCCATCTACGTTTGCTTTTGGACTAGATGTAAATGTTCACTGAATGAGCTTGTGAAATTTAAGTTCTACCAAATGTGGGTAATAAAAACAAGAACTTATTTGAAAGAAGAAAAAAAAAGAAAAGACTCTGTTCCACCTTCAGATGTGGTAATATGGGGAGTGCTCAAGTGTGTTTTTAAACTCCATACACATTCATTAGAATCATTTGGATAATTTCAGTCCCAGAATCGCCAATCTCTACTGAACAAAAGCTAAAAGGTGGCTGTTAACTTGGAAACTACTGCTTTGTGAATTCACACAAAGTGAAACGGAACATTTTGAGCTCTGGAGATGTAGACAACACAATATTACACACAAGATTACTCAAACATGAATGAACAATGAATGAACAATGAACAACAACTCTAGATATGTTTTGATGATAACGACATTCCAACAAGCAAAACTGACTCTTGTGAGCTTTTAGTCATAATATAAGACCTCTAACACAAGTACCACCTACAATCTACCTAACAAACCCCAGAACACCAGTTGGACAGACCACTCATTTACACATAAGTAAACTTGTATTGTAACTCACGTGTTGGTTGTAGATCATGATGCCCTGTCCACAGGAGGTCTGGTGGGTGCAGAGGTGCTGTTGGATGCACCAGTTACAGCCCCAGCGACTGCTCACACACCCCTGGCACCTGCACAAACACAGCGACCAGATGAGAGGGGGCATCTGTATGTCAGCGGAGGCAGGAAGTATCAAATATTAATGGGTGAAATATTAAGAGTGCCAGACATACAGTGTTAAGCCCATAGGTTTGTGCCTGATGGGTGCCTGACGGGCCAGTCTCTTCTACATTCAGTTTGAATCCAGAAGGGACTGGAGCCAGACCATAGTGAACATAACAACATAGTGTGAAAAAAACTCTGTCGAAATTTTTGATGATCCAACCACAACCACTAATTTGTAGCATGTGTCTCTCAAATGCAGAACACATCCCCTCTTGAAAATTCCTGTAACATTCAGAACTTCTTTTATCATGTTTATTTTTGACATGAACGGAGCATGTGTTACACTATACACTACACACTATACACTATACAGCTCCAGATCCACTCGTCTTTGTAAAACTTTGTCAAAGCGTGTGGCTCTGGCTGGCCAGGTAAATCTAATGGTGTCCTGCTATCGTCCTAATACTTAAACTTTACATTAAAGAGAAAGTAGCTAAATACAGCGTAGTTGTAATTACTTTATTCTGTTATATATTGATACAGCAATTTTGGCATTAAAACAAAAATAAAATCTTGTAAGAGCTTTTTCTTTTTCTCTAGTACCAAAAGTTATTCACATTGATTTTTCCACATTCCAAAAATAAATTTCTATTTCTATGATATTTTAACTCAAAGGTACAATACGTAACCTTCTCGAGGCGGAACATCACCTGCTTGATTCCAGGGAAACACAAAGTTAAAACCATACTTTTGGAACATTGGACACAGATATGTTTTATGCTATAATGTGGAAGATTATAGCCAGAGGAACAACATTTCCATGGAAACAAGCAGGTGGAGGCCCTCTTCCAGTCCAACAAGAGTCAGGTCTGTAGAGATGCAAGCCCATTCACAGTAAAGGTGCATGTTGTTATATCTTATTCAGTGCAATAAACACAACCAAAATGAGAAAAAAAACATGATTTTATTTTATTTTATCTATTTTTGCCTTAATTTTCTGGCCTGAATGTTTCAGTTTTGAAATGACTTACCCCAAAGGTGTAAATTTATTTCTTCTTACAGGAACACTACAGGATTTCTCAGCCTTAAACATTTTTAAATGTGCGACAAAAACTGCGAACCACAAGCTAACACAAGTTGCTTCCTGTCCAGAGTAAAAACCGCTTGCTTTGAGACTCTTTATATGTTCACAAGATCAGAGCATTGCACTTCTAGTTTAAATGCCGTTCAAAACTGTGTTATTATTATGTATGAAATGTGGTGCAATACTTCAGATACATGATTTTTAATGCACAGAAGGCTGCTGATAAAGTGCACAGGAAGTAGAGTCACCATCGCTAAACTGCAGCTTCACCCTGATCCGTGCGTTGTGTAAATGTAAACAGACACACGTGAGGAACTACTCTTGCCTTTTAGCTCTTAAAGAATGCTTCAAACTGGATCTTGACTGTACAGTGGACTATGGATAATATGGATGAGATGCTGCAGTTTAAATGTACAGCAAAGTCTTCTCATTTCACCATTTCCTGAGTTTGTCTCTTGTGCAGTGGCTTCATCACACACAAAGACACACACCTCCCCGAACATGAGGAGAAGCAAATCGCAGTCTAAATCAGGAAAATTCTCCTGTAGGCCTCTGTGTGTGTGTGTGTGTGTGTGTGTGTATGTCTATGTACTCACGGCCTGCGTCTTGATAGCTGCTGAACCAGACTGCAGTTATAGAAGGTGAACTCTGTCTCTGCCACAGTCACATTTAGAAAGCGCAGGGAGAGGGTGACCATCACATAGTCTGCATACAAACACACAAGCTGTCAGTTATTTTCAGAACATTTACATGTGATTTATGACATTCAGGTTGACTTTTGTGTACCATCTCCGTGCCGGATAGGAGGTAACTTGTCCCCGTCCGGAGTAGGACACACCACTCCACTGTTGGTGAGGACAGCCGGAGATTCAGAGTTATGGAAAAAGCAGGAATACGCTTCTTCCTTGGTGAGACTGGGGAGGCCTTCAACTGACACTGTAATCTAAGGAAAAAGGGAATAACGCTGCATATTTTAAGATGTAACTTTTCTGGTACACAATCCACCATCAGCTTCTCTCCATCGACATGTTGCCTTGAATGTTCCACAGTATTGCTTTACACTTATTTATCTGTAGGGAGACAGCAGGTGACGCTATCGGACCAAGTTACAAGTCTGATCTGTAGTGAGGCGAGCCCACTCACAACAATGCAAGTTTTTAAGTCAAGAAAAATCCATGTTATTACACGCAAGATGGATACGTTTAATGCCACACCGGGATATTCCAGACAAAGCAACAATATCTCTATGGAGAGAAGGAGAAACGTTACACAGTGCACCTTCAATTCAGTCTAGGATCATGTTGTATCAGTACAAATGGATAAAACTATAAAAAAACATAGCGACCGACAGCCCAGAACTTGATTGTGTCTGCAGTCGCTCAGCAGCCCTTTCCAATTGCCTAATATATTTTCAGACGATCTTAATCCGATCTCTGGTTAGTTGTATGTGAATTCAATTATATCTAGATAATGTTACTGCCTCGATACTGTTTATTCTGCCCAGGGGAAACAAAAAAAACGTTACAGAGACCAGACCAGTTAAGATGGCTATCAACTGATGTCATGCTGTAGTGAAGTAGTATAATATATCCAGTCGTATCATAGTATAAAAGAAGAGAAATTTAGAGCAAAGGTTTCAGTCTATTCACATTGCATTAACACTTCAAGGGTTAATAGAACTTGCATTAAGTGATGTTAAAAGTACAAGGAAATTGCTGTGACTCTCCTGCTTGTCTCCATGGAGATGTAGCCACAGTATGGCATTAACCCTAAATATCAAGCATTTATTCATTTATAGGTGTTTCATTGGTCAAAATTTCATTGGTCTTTCTATGAGTGGGGTCATTTCTCCACAGATCTGACATGTAATTTGGCCTGGGAGTCTCCATGGAGATTGATCATTTAAATGCCTCACCGTGGAAGATTCTAGGCACTAGCATCTCTATGGACAAGTTACAGAAAAGGTAATGTTAAAATGTTGTTGCCTCTTCAAAAATAAACCAAGAGTTGTGTTTTGTTTCATTCATACATTTGCATAACCGTTTATCATTAGTCTGTCTATTTCCAAAGCTCAAAATGCTCTGTTTAACCTTGTGCTGTCATGTAGTGGTAATTTTCAACCTTTACCTTTTACCTTTAGTTTCAAAAAATATCCAAATGAATGTAGTGAAGGTGTATGGAGCACTTCCTGTATTACCACCTAACATCACAAGGTGGAACGGAGAATTTGGGAGAACTCAGCCTAAATGAAGGGCTTGTGCGATGAACATGTGTGAATGAAACAAAACACTACTCCAGGTATGTTTCAGATGAGGAAACATTATAACATAGATCAGAAAACAGCTAAATCTGGGCCATATAAATGAAAGACAATTTGGATAATCCTACATACTGAACTTGATTATATCTTAAAAATAAAAAAAAATTTGGTATCATCTCCTCCACCACTCACCTCAGTCTTCTCTCCTCGGCTGATGTTGTAGAGGCTGAGCTGCTGAATACTGAGACACTGTTGGGTTTGGTTGAAGCTCCAGAGCCAGTGACCGTGCACAGATCCACGTCCACACTCCCAGCGCTGGCCACACCTGAGCACACCACACACATTGTTACACATGTATGAATCTCTGCCTGACCTGCCACTTCCTTCTACATCCGTTTGAATCCAGAAGGGACTGGGATCGGACCATAGAGAATGAAAAACCTCTGTCCAAATTTTAAATGATTGTCCCTCAAATGTGGAAGACATCTCCTCTGACATAAGTAATAGTTTGGTGCTTCAATTATGTAGATTTTTCTCCTTTTTCATGTGTAAGCAGCCATGATTGTTTTAGAAGCGAACTGAGCATGTGTCTCTCTGATTGGTTAATTTGCCTGTAAATCACGCCCTCTGAAATGAGGGGACAGGACACAGCTCCAGATCCACTCATCTTTGTAAAGTTTTTTTCACCATGTGGTTCTGCCTGGACAGGTAATATGAACCTGAGGCTGAGGGGGTGAAGTTGGGAGGGGCAAGGGGCATCCGTGACTCACCGGCCCTCCAGCACACACCAGCCGCAGTACGGGTCTCTGGTCGACAGACAAGACTGACAGTCTGTGTGCTCTCCGCATTCAGCCACTGGGCGCTTCTCGACCTGAATACAACGCATACATACATACACATTAGGATTCAAATTCAACTTGGAGGTGAGCAAATTATTGAAATGTGAAAAAGTTTGTAGTAAGACTGCTGCACAGGGAGCTGATTAAAACAAAACAAAACTAGAAAAGCACTCAGAGAGCGCAGACCTCCGCCAAGGACTACCCCCATTTTTTTATATAAATTGCGATAAAATCAGTCTTCTGGATCAGATCCGGATCAGCCTTTGGAATATGAAAGAGGATCCCATTGTCCATCCCTGAGTCAAATTTCATGGGGTTTGGTCAATAATTAACTGAGATATTGAGAAACAAAATTTTTGGCCCCATTTACCACAATGTTAACTAAAATTTCAAAGTGATCCAGAATCCAGGATTTCTTCCGGATCACCCCCAAAATGAAATCAATTCTTCCTTTTCACATTTCCAACAAATCCTGAAACTTTCATCAAAATCGGTCCATAACGTTTTGAGTTATGTTGCTAACAGACGAACAAACAAACAAACAAACAGACAAACGCCGGCAAAAACATAACCTCCTTGGCGGAGGTAACAAGTAAACTTCCAAAATAAAGCACATGTCTGCCCCTATGTGATTAATGGTACAGTAAGTTCACAACTAATATATCAAGACATGTCAGTGGGTCCCATAGATTTTGTTAAGACTATGGTAGCACAAATTATTTATATTTGAATAATTTCATCTCATTCAATTTGTGGAGTATAAATGTCACTTACTGCCTATAATTAATCTTTCATTCATTTTTGACCAGTGTTTATGAGACAATCACAAAAATGTCTAATTCCAATATATAGTCCGGTTTATTTCTGTTGGATTGACATTGTATATCATTGTCAGGATACTCAAAAAATATTAAATGTTGTGATAAAATTTTGTCAACACTAATCCAATTTTTCCAGATTATGTCTTTGTGAAAAATTTGAGGATCAATATAAGAAAAATAACTGCCTTGTTTGTTGTTAATTGTAAATGAGGCCTGTTTATGAACATGCCCAAACTTTAATTAACTAAAAACTCCCGAAGTAATTTTTAAACAGTTGGCTCACCTTAAAACTATGACAGGAAGTGCTCTACTTTGTTAGAATCATTTGGAAATTTCATCCTTGAAGATTAGTCTCTACTGAACTGAAGGTAAAAGATGGAACAGAGCATTTTGAGCTTTGGAGCTGTAGACAAACTAATAATAAAATATGACTTAAACATGAGTAAATGAAACAAAACACAGCCCTAGATTTGTTTTTGATGAGGTAACAACATTTTCACATGGCTTAAAGCTCACAAGAGTCAGTTTTGCCTAATATGGAACCTTTAAACAGAACTCAAATACTCATTCCTTTTTGGTTTGAAATGTTATGTGTCATTAATAATAAACTAGGGCTGTAGGCCACAAGAGAAAATGTAGTCAGCAAAATCCTGACCGACTCATCTGTTAGGCATTCACAACAAGCTCTTACTCATAGCAGCTGCCCATCTAGACCACTCCAAATATAGCTGCTATAGTGAGTATGTATATAGAAGCATTACATGGGTTTAGATGAGGATCATTAGTCAAACTCAAAGCTAGAGTTGAACATGGGGCATAAGCTGTCAACACCATTCAGACTATGGACTCAAATTCCCATAATTCCCCATAATCATTTATCAGCACTACCCTGTCCACACAGAGCCGCTGTAGGGAGTGTGCCGCGACAATGCAGGCCACTTTTTCCAATCAGACCCATTGTTGCGACTGACCTGCTCCCTCATGCTCACTGTTGTAGCGGGCGCAGCATGGGTCGTGACCTCTGACCCTTACAGACAGCTGGCCTCTCTGTTCCTTTTATGAATTCTCTGCCCGTATCTGGTGCGAGACGCAGCTTGAGGAAGTATCAAAAGCTGAAAACGTCTGACAAATGATAAATTGTTGAAGGTTGAGTGATGGGTGATGTTCATGTTGTTCTATGGAGACATCTGGAGACAGAGTGAATGGGGCGATACCTCGAAAAGGCTATGGTTGTTCAGGCATCTGTTCAGGGAGCAGTAGGTAACACGCATTCAAATGGGTCTTTAAGGACTCGTATTGATCTGTGCTGTTTTGTATTGTTAGAGAAAGACCAGGAAGTTAAAGGTTGTGAGCTGATCAGTTAAAGAAGTAAACGAGAGTAAATGATCGTCATTAATCATTAGGGATGAATATTTTCACAATACACATCTCATGGTACAATATTTACTGCAATATTTTGTGGATATTTTGGGAATATGCTACTTTTCTCTTGTCATAATCCAAATAATTTAGACTTAATAGTGGTCAATAACAATTATTTCAGACTGTCGATTGGACTGAAACATAGCAAAGGATCATGGTCTATGCAGTTCTCTGTTTTTTAGCTGTCCTAACAAAGAATTTAAACAAAGAAATGTATAATTTGATATACTGTGATGACTTTAAACAATACGATATCACGATGTTTCGGTTATTTTTACATCACTATTAATTGTCTGTGTGAATTGAGTAAAATATTATCATAGACATTCAGGAGATTTTTTTATTAAGTGTGTCATTCACTAATACAGGGGTGCAATTTCTGTGATTTCACCAAGGAACAAGTGAACAGTTCAATTTTTGTGGGCACTTTTAAACTTTTTAAAATTACAATATGAAAATAGGGTCTGTGCATAATAGGGGTGAGCAAAAATATTGAAACATCGATGTATTGTATCATTTAATTTAATGATACAGTATCAATATCGTTGGCTGCTGTATCGATATATTGTCAAGAGTATTTTTTTGGTATATTTTACTAAATTATTTTATGTAAGAGCTACAATTGTGTTGACATTTTCACGGTTTTGAGTAAAATGGGTGTTTTTCATCTTAACCATCCACAGACTGAACGGCACAGATCCGAATTTTTCAAATGCGACCCAGGCCACTTGGATATGTGGTCCTGAATCCGATACATATCCGATCTTTTGACATGCGACTTCAGTCTGAACGGCCAAAACGCATCCATCCGACCTACACGTCATTAACAAGCGACAAACGTCACTATTCTGCGCTGAAGCAGGCGGAAACCGGAACTGTAAAATCGCCAGGTGCTCAATGCTCGCGACCATATTTGGACAACTTCCGTAAACACAGAGCACGCTCGCTGCGGTTGACGCATGGGGTTGACGTCATGGTGTCCTCCAGTGCGCATGCGGGACACTTTTGGGCCGTTTACCGTTCACACTGGAGTCACAGACAAGTCGCATTCAATTGGAAATGTGAACGACCTCGCAAAAACATCGGATTTCACAAAAAAATCGGAATTGAGCATTAAGCCCTGCAGTCTGAACGTAGCCTTAGTGGACTTAGTATCACAGCCATGATTTTTTAGCCTTTGGTTTTCAGTGAACTGTATCAAATCGAAATATATCGTATCAAATCATATTGAATCGAAACTGCATTGAAAACCATATCGTATTGTGGCCTATGTATCGAGGTATATATCGTATCGAAAACTTCTTAATGATACCCATCCCTACAACAGCGCCGACCAACCACACTCTATGCGTCACGACTTCCTGTCCAATTTTGTATCTATGGGTTTTTTGCTGAGTCATGCTAAAAATCTATAAATATTTAAAGATAAGGCATTGGACCGCGAGTTGTGAGTGGATAACATGGTAAAAGGTACACAAATAAAACGAATTCTTCACCAGGGGACATTTCTGCTTCTATACAGGCAAATGTTTGTGTCTCTGTGAGGCATAATAAATATTAAAACAACACTACAACCTGAAAAATAAGTGTTCTATATATAAACATAACTGGCTCATCTTTATTTTAATTAATTTGAATTTTAACTGTTTATTTTATATTTTGTGATTTCAATAAAAGTGACTGTGAGCTTTGAGACACAGTGAACTGAGAGCCTATTCATCAGCAATTCTTAAATGCAATGGTGGACAGAAAAGTACCTTTGTACCCTAATTTCTAAGATTAGACTCCAGTTTTTGATATTTTTTAACCAGATCTTATTGCAGCCTTTATCCTTCAAATCTTCAATGTAATTAAATGTTATATATATATATATATCTCTAACAGACCAAGTTTTGATTAACTAGGGGCAGAAAATTTGGAACTGGAACCCTGGTGAGATGTTGCCAGTATCAAACAGACTCATCCATAAAAGAAACGGTGATAAACCAGTGAATCAAGGCAGGCAAACTATCATTTTATAGCATTTTTACTGTATTATTTATTTATTTATTTATCTATTTATTTCATACTTACAGCATTTTGAGTCATGATGTAGATGTGTCCTCCACTGTGATCCAAAAGAAGATCACTGTTGATGGGAGAATTATCTTGGATCACAGTTTTCGCGTAGACCTTCACTTCGCCATGCTGTCCCAGATACACCTAAAAAGTTACAGCAGAAAAAAATGTAAAAATGCAATGAAAGATAGTGATTTGCCTAGAATAAAATCAATAGCAACAGTTTTATATCCAACAGTGAGATTTCTTACATTCAAATGAAACTAAGTACTGGAAAAAATGAAATAAAAGTGAAAATCCTTCTTCTCTGCCAACTTAAATCCAATCAGGTTTCGTGCAGGATTGCGAGAGAAGTGGTTATGAATGTGATTACTGCACTGTTAAATCTAATATGGCCGCCAGGAAGACACCTCTGGCCTGAGTGGTTCCCAGGCTCGTGTTACGTCCAGTTAACAAGATTAGCCTCGGCTGCTCCTGCAATAGAGCGGAGAATCCCTACCCCTAGCCATTAACAGAATGCTCTTAATGGGTAATAAGTGGGGGAAATAGCCCGGTAATGTATGGAGACTGAACAAAACAATTAGTGGATTGTTTACAGTAAGGATTTGAATATTGAATAAGCCTTATAGTGCATATTTCATTCAACTTTTACTGTAGAGCTAATGCAGTTTAAATAATGTTAATGTTAATGTAAATGTAATTATGAACGGAAACAATTGCAGTACAGAAAAGCATGTTTTTGATGACCACCTGATAATGCTAAAAGTAATAATTTAAACTATTAATGGTAGGGATGTAACAATGACCAAAATATCATGATATCGTATTGTCAAAGTTCTTACAAGAATATCATGGACCATCACAATATATTGAATTACAAGTTTCTTTGCTTAAATTAAGAGTTATGGTGCAGCAATAGCTAAAAAAAAGACAGAGGGAACTACATAGACCATGATCCTTTGCTCCATTTCAGTGTAGACTACAAGAAGAAATAACAGTTCTAAGCACTTTTAAGTCTTAGTTCTTTGGATTAAGTCTTGTGAAGGCATTTTAAGAAAATGAAAAAGTACCATATTAACAGTTTTAGCTGTTTAGCCTCCACAAAAACTTGCAATAAATATCGTATGTATATTGTGAAAATATCGTACCGAGAGATTTGGATATTGTTAGCCTCCCCACCATATTGTGAGCTTTCCCACAATATCGCAATAAATATCGTACCATGAGGTTCATATTGTGACTATATCGTATCGTGAGACTTGGATATCGTTACACCCCTAATTAATGGCCATTGATTTTCAGATTTTAAAGATGTACTGTGCAACGTTTCTGGTGGAGGATTTGTCACCTGCTTGTCTCCGTAAAGATGTTATTGCTTTGCCTGGAATATCTTGGTATGGCAATTAATCTATCCATCTTGCATTTAATCAATAACATGGCTTTTTATTGACCTAAAAACATGCATTCATACTGTGAGTGAACTCGTCTCTCCCCAGATTGGACATATAACTTGGCCCTTTGGCATCACCTGTGGTCTTTGTAGACATAAATAAGTGTACTGCCATTCCATGAGAGATCTCCATGGAGAGAAGCAGGTGACACTCCACCACAAAAATTACACAGTGCATCTTTAAATAAAGGTTGTAGCCAGTATACTGAGGAAGACTGAAAGTGCACAAAAATCTTGAAGGATTGCCAACTAAAACTAGCCCTGAACTAAAAGGAATCATATCAGCAAACAGCCTCTGTCCATAGCATTGTCTCTAACCGTTCTTAACCCCCATTTCACACTATACTATCTGAGCTGCCCACAGATATCAAAGAAATATAAACAATATAAAATAATCAGAAATGTGAGTGTGTCCTGTAATGTACTTATGGCAGAGGGTACATAAGGGCTGTACCTATTTTTATAAACAAGGCTAAAGTGGCCCTCCCTCAGTCTCACACTCACAGCCTGAGGAGTGAGTGGAAGCAGTGGAATGTGTCCCACTGCGATACAATAATCCTGCCACAACAGCTCACTGTACAAAGCTCCATGGAGTCCAGCTTTGATCCACCGCACAACACAACTATTCCCAATTCATACTAAGGAGGGACAGAGGTTCTCAAGCAGAGGGTCAAAGCCCAGCATGGGATGTGAAGAGGCTAAAAGGACTATTATCTTTTGTGCTTTAGGAGATGATGTGTAGAACCACACACGTGAATTTTGGTGAAAAACACAATTTTTGTCAACACCATCTTAGACTTTGACTTCTATGACAATGGCATTAGAGAACAGTCTGTTGTAGCACTTTTCATTATTATAAGATTTCAAATGACAAAAACAGATGTCAGACAATTTATGAAAAGCCAAGTACTTCTATGATAAGACAGTCACTTGTGTGTTTGTATTTCTTCGAATTTAATTACTAGTATAATTCAGCAAATGTTTTGCTAATAAAGCTTACAATAGCCTTAAGAAAGAAGATATATAGATATTATAATGCTTTAGGTGTTTTCAAACAGGTCATGATTTCTTCTTGGTTTGAGAACAATTTAGTACTGATGCTGGTCTGATTTGGTCCTGGTTTAGTCCTAGTCCAGCCCTGGTCTAGTCCTAGTTCAGCCCTGGTTCAGTCCTAGACCAGCCCTGGTTTTGTTTTAGTCCAGCCCTGGTTTAGTCCTAGTCCAACCCTGGTTTAGTCCTAGACCAGCCCTAGTATAGTTCCAGGTTTAATTCCAGGTTTCGTCTGAGTTCAGTCCTAGTTTTGATGCAGTCTATGTGCAAGTGTGAATGCACCACAGTGAATACTTATGTTGCACTCTTCATATCTGAAAGCCAGTCTAAGATCAGCCCAGATGATCCCTCCTGTGCTTTTCAAAAATCAAATAAAAACCTCGCTGGTGTATTTTGGAACACAGTGAAGACTGGAATGAAAAGAATCTCCTGCTAAAGCCTCAAAGCTGTAGTGTAAAAATCCTTTTATGTGGCATGTGAGGGTCAGGCACGTGAGATTTGATTTAGGAGAAAAATTAAACGCCGCAATAATCCATAATCTCTTTGGACCATAGTCCTGGGACAGTATTCAGAGCAGCCTCCCGGATGGCCAACACCTCTGAGACTAGTCAAAAGCACAACACTGCATTTGATTGTGCATTGTGACTGAACCAAAAGTAGACCATGTTTTTTGTTATTTTTTTAATACTGATATATATTCAGACAAGATAAAATGCACAATATATTTAGATTTTTTTTAAAAATAAGTGTTGGTATATTTCATAATACAAAGTTGTAGCAGCACCAAAATGGAAGCATTCTAACCTTAACTTATTTGGAAAAGAAAACTTGACATAAATACTAGGGATGTAACAATAACCACAATATCGTGATATCGTATCGTCAAAGATCTCACAATAATATAGTGGACCATCAAAATATATAGAATTACAAGTCTCTTTGCTTAAATTAAGAGTTATAAGAGCAAAAAAGACAGAGGGAACTTCATAGACCATGACCCTTTGCTGCATTTCAGCGCAGACTACATGAAGAAATAACTCTTATAAACACTTTAAAGTCTTAGTTCTTTGGATTAAGTCTTGTCAAGGCATTTTAAGAGGAAAAGTAAGTAGTATTAAGAACAATAAATATCGTACCGTGAGATGTATATCGTGAAAATATTGTACTGGGAGATTTGGATATCATTTCATCTCTAATAAATACCATAGTAAAAAATCATAGTACAATTTTATAATAACTACTTGGAACAAAACGTAATTTATAATTCAGTCTTAATAACTACTTAGTAAGGGGTTAGGGTTATATTAATTAAGTAGAGACTAAGCGTGAATCGTCATTAATAAAGTGTATTAATGCCAATTAAAAATGTAACTATAATAAAGCGTCACCAAAAGCTATTAAAAGTGGCAATTTGCGTATTCCTGGTAACCATGTGCATTTTATTTACTATGTGAACATATGTATTATGAAAGTATTATGTACCATGTATCATAACAGAGAGAGGGAGCATGTAATTCCAAACCATAATTGAAGTTATGCTTTAGTGACACTTAATCTTTGTATCTTGTTTATTTCAAAGTGTCAGTAAGTCGTCTGTAATGATTGTCTATTGATTGTTTTAATGTTGTTTAATGGTGCACTTTGAGCTTTTTGCATTTTTTTTTTTTTCAGTGTGGTTTTTAATTACAAATGGCAAATTAACTAACTAGCAAACTAACTAACTAAATAAATAACTCTACCCGTCTTCTCAAAACAGGAACCACCTAATTGCATCCCATCCCATCTACATCCCATCTGTAGTTGCATTCTGTTGGTGCACTCAGCCCTCTCATCGAAACACATTAGGAGATTAGGATATTACTGGTCACCTTGTGCAGTGCTCCTCGGGCGTCTCCCAGGAAGGCGATGCTGTGTCCTTCTCTGACACTGACCGCCACCGCAGTGAGACGTGAGGCGGAGGTGGTCCACGCCGCCCGCGCCTCCACAGGAGAGCGGCTCGCCATGGGGCTGGGGGTGTGGTCAGAGCCGCATGGGTACGCCGTCAGGGTGTTCTGGGACATAGTAATAAAAGAAATGAAAAGGGTGGTGAAAATATGACAAGGCTTAGGTACTCTATGATGCGATGTTCCCTGACACAGATTAAAGGTCCCATATTTCACAAAATCCACCCTTGGGAGCTTTGAGCAAGGTTAGAATGCTTTTACCTCATCAAAAACATACTTGGAGTTATGTTATGTTTCATTCACACATATCTGAGTAACACTTTATTATTAGTCTGTCTACCAGAGGTGGGACTTGCAAGTCGTGACTTGAACTCGACTTGGGACTTGACTTGGACTTAAGACCTGTGACTTGAGAAGACTTGAGAAGCACTTTTAAATCTGAATTCTGTCTATACTGACCGTAATGAATCACTCTAAGGTCTTGTCAAGACATTTAAAAAAGAAAAATTGCATTTTTACTACTCTTATATACTCTATAAATAATCATATATAAATATACTATGACTTTATAAGTACAATTTAGTTTAAAATTCATATACCACCAAACTATCATGCAGCCTCACATAGAGTAAACCTGAATGCAATGTGTAGTCTGATACATTTAAAATATGTTTAGTCATTATTTTAATTGATGCATATAAAGTATAATGTTTGGAGGTGCTATAGCGGTGTTGACACCTGGGCCCCCTCCAGTGCTGCTCCACTACGGCCGCTCCTTTTGGGCGGCTGGATCTCTGTGGTCTCTCACGTTCACGATGAAGCTTCAGGAGATGCAGCTCCTCTTGTGGTGAAAAGAGTTCAGAAGTCAGCTCCAGCACCCTCCTGGACAGTTTTTCATTTTCATTGTTGGTTTGATCTCCACTGTAGGTTTTTTAAGTTTTTCTTTCAACTTCTCATTGATTTTCCTGGTGTTGAACAGCTCTTGTTTGAGCTTGACTGTGTCTGCCACTGACTTGTTATAGTGATATCTTATTTCTTTGTACGTACTAACCTCATTTTCCAGCTCTTTCTCTTTTTTCAGGAAGTTAGCTTTGAGCTCTTTCAACTCCAAGTCTTTTTTGTTTGTTTTTTTCCCTGACTCATTTTTAGTTAGCAAACTCTTGCCTTAGTTGCACATGTTCTGTACTTTAGCATTATACAGGTAGCAGATCTCCTTGTGTGTGTTCTCTAGGTCTTGTAGTTGCTTTTCCTTCTTCTGGAGAGTAGCAGTAAGCTCTTGCAACTCCAAGTCTTTTTCATCAGACTTTTCTGTGACTTTGGAGTTCAGCTTTTGTATTAGTATTAGACATCATTGATGATGAACGCTAAAGGGTTGAGTGTGTTTAGTATGTACAGACATAATTGCACATGCATGTAATAATATTCAGAATTTAGGGAGAAAGTTTCCCTCTAGTCCAGGGGTCTCAAACTGAATTGGAGCAGGGTCAGAAGTTATAAAGTAGGTATTGGTCAGGGCCCACTTTGGTTTAAAAACTTGAAATGACTTGAAGCTCAAAGCAGACGACTTGGACTTGACTTAGACTTACGGACCAGTGACTCGAGACTCAACTTGAACTTGGCCTGTATTTGACTTGAGACTTACTTGAGACTTCCAAAACAACAACTTGGTCCCACCTCCACTGTTTATATCTCCAAAGCTCAAAATGGTCTGTTCCATCTTGTGATGTCTTGTAGTGGTAGTTTTCAGATTAACAGCTACCTTTTATGTTTTGTTCAGTAGAGATTTGCAATTTCAGGGCTCTACATATTCAAATAATTCTGGTGAAGGTGTATGGAGTTTAAAAACACAGTGGAGCACTCCGCACGTATTACCACATGACATCTGTTTTCTGTCTGAGTGAAGAACTCAGCCTAAATATGCAGGGTTTGTGTGTTAAATGTGTGTGAATGAAATAAAACACAGCTCCAGGTATGTTTATGATGAGGAAACAATATCATAGTTCAGAAAATAATGTAACATAGGCCCTTCAACATTTCTTATTTAAAGCTTTTTAATGTATGAGTAAATACAGTGTATGAGAGAGGCACACATGAGTAGTAGGTATTAGTGTTTGATTTTCTATACATTTGACAATCGTACAACAAATTCACGTTCCAAACTTGTATGAGTAAATGTATATTTATATATTTCAAAGATTTACTGTAATAACCTTCATCTGTGGCCCATTGCATCATATTGAAAGTGACTGTGATGAAGTTTTGGACAACCCTGAAACATTTTATATTTCCACTCTTTCCAAAATAACATTCCTTTACAAATAACACATAAAACATAATAGGTAGATTATGTAAGTTTTGCATTTCAAATTTCACTGGAATAAATTCAGCTGGTCAAATGTGATTAGTGATGATGGAGTATTACCAGATTTTGTTTTGGAAACATTATATAAAGCTAATCAGATCATGGATTAAATAAAGCATCTTAACGGTCACATATTTTGCAAAATTCACTCTTTTGAGCTTTAAGCCATGTTATAATGCTGTTACCTCCTTAGAAACATACCTGGAGTTTGTGTTTTGCCTCATTTACACTTTCCAAAGCTCAAAATGCCCTGTCCCACATTGTGATGTCACAGTTTACAGCTACCTTTTACCTTTTGTTGAGTAAAGATCTGCAATTCCAGGGCTGAAATTATCTAAATCATTTTAGTGAAGGTGTATAGCTGTATATAGAGTTTAAAAACACAGTAGAGCCCTTCTCATATTATGACATGAGATCACAAAGTGGAACAGAGTGTTTTCTGTTTGAGAAAAGAACTCAACCTAAATATGAAGGATTTGTGTCAAACAAGAGTGAATTAAACAAAACATAACTCCAGGTTTAAAATGAGGAAACAAAATTATAATTTAGATGAGAAAATAACCATATTTTTCGGACTATAAAGCGCACCGGATTATAACGCAGAATATCAATAATCTTTAATTCTCTCATCTATTTTCATATATAAGGCGCACCGGATTATAAGGCGCATTAAGCAAAACAAACGGACGACAATTGAGACTGATCCCTTAGTCCAGGACTCCACGATCCATTGGCAGATCGTGGTGTAATTCACCAGGTGTTGACTCCCTGTCTTGGTGAATGTGTATTATGAATGTGAATGTGGGTGGATAATTTAAATTTGTTAATTTTTAACATTGTGTAACAATGTGTTTAATGCAGCTTTTCGCATATTTGTTTATGTTTTACAGAAACTAAACTTAATTTGCATAAACTATAAGTTCTGAAAAACAGCTTGATGCCATCAGCTTCTGTGAAACTAAAGGACACAACTCTGCAAGGCTCCTGACTACGGTAGCCATAATGCTCCAACAATCCATCAAGTGGTGCAGCTCTGTATCTTACCAAAGTCATACTAAAACATTTTGACAGATTTTTGGGCGCCATGTACTACGTAAAATTGGTTAGAGGTCAGTAAGCACAACCAGAATTAATACATAAGGTGCACTGCAGACTTTAAGTTTTTGAAAAACTTAAAGGATTTTAAGTGCGCTTTATAGTCCGAAATGTACAGTAATATAGGCCCGTTATAGGAATTAATAAGTAAATTATGTGGCATGTATGTTTCTACAAACTCATATATTAGTAGAAGTAACAACACAAGTTCAGATTAAATGTTATTATAATTGCTGTATTATATTATAAGACCAATGTACTCTAATGATGCATTTTAACTCTAAATGTAAAAGTTTTATCACCACACAAAATGGCTCTTCAAGTACTTGATAACAATCCAATATTACACCATAAACTGCTTTTTTATAGATACTGCTCTATGCATTAGCCCTGCACAGTAAACCATTCAGATGTATACGCTGCGAGCTCGCTTAATGCATTTTTAAGTAGGCTGCCATAGGAAATTTAGCGGTCAGAGAAACAACACGGATCAAGATCTACAAGCCACTAACAAGGCTTTTCATCTGCCACTTTATGCAGAATAAATAGTGAGTGATCTCTGGGTCACTGGGATGAGTACAGAGAGGCTTGTTTAAAAGCCCTAAGCCCCGACATGCAGATCTCCGGTGGGACTCTCGTGTACCTCTGCACTGTGCGCGGCCTCAGAAGTTTAATGGGATCATTATGGATCAATATGAACTAACCCCAAATCAGCTGTGGACTTTTATAATGAGAGCCGACTAGAAAGACATGGGTTCTTTTGAAATTCACAGCCAAATGAGGACACACAGGACTACGGTAAATAATACAAAAGGTTGAAACAAGCCTTCAAGTAGAGTATGAGTTTATCATTCGCTTCTAAAATATACATATTATACAGTATTTCAATTCATATTAAAGGTGATATATTACACAAAATCGACTCTTGTGAGTTTTTAGCTGCTTTATAATGTTGTTACTTTATCAAAAACTTACCTGGAGTTGTGTTTTGTTTCATTCACACATGTTTGAGTAATCTTGCGTTATTAGTCTGTCCACACCTCTCAAATTTAATATGCTCTGTTCCAACTTGTGATCTCATGACACAGTAGTTTTCCAGTCACCAGCTACCTTTTACTTTTTGCTTAGTAGAGATTAGCAATCCAGTTACGAAAGCTGACTAGAAAGACTTGCGTTTCTTTTGACGTGCACAGACAAATAAGGACACGAAATGAGAACCATGGCAAGTAATAAAAAGGCTGAAACAAGTATTCATAATTAAGATTTTGGAAAATAAAAAAGGAGATTTAAAATGACAGATATTGACAATTTGACTTCTGCTTCATCTTATGCTGGACATACACTGTGTGATATTTTCGATCATTTCACTCAGCCCCAGCTGAAACTGTACGACCAAATCGCAGAGTTTAAAAGTTCACAGCTCACGATTCATGTTCTCACACTCTACGAACTACTTCAACAGAGCGAAAACCCCACGAGAGGCTACTGGATTTCAAACAGGTTTGATATCTCAGGAGCTGGCCATGAGGTATTAATCGGTTCTATTAACCCATGTTGACGTCACAAAGCATGACACACGATTAAGCCAAAACCCGGCCGATCCAAAAAACAGTTGCACGAGTGAAAAATCGTCTCAAAAAGGGTCAAAAATTGCACAGTGTACGCCCGGCTTTATATATACTGTATCATCCCATGTAATGGCAAATAAAAGCGACTTACGAAGTAGGATATGAGTTATAAGTTAAACAATATTTCAGTTCATATTAAATCTACATCTGGTTTTGGCATACTAAGTACCACTTCAATATTTATTTGGCTTTAGTAGTAATTCCGTGGTACCATCAGAACTGAACCCAGACTAAACCAGATGAGTTAATTTGAAGTACACTACCAATATCAGCAGAAGCCCATCCACGTAATTTTGAGAAACATAGATTTAAGTTCGCACAATGTACGTTTTCTAAGGGGTCCACCAACTGCTAGTCGCCATTTAAATGTTATTGCTTTGCCTGAAATGGTCCACAGTATGTCATTAAACTTCTGTGTCTAGCTGTTCTTCGTGAGGCTAAGTCATAAAAAAGCTGAAACCAGCATTCATAATCAAGATTTTGGAAAATATAATGGCAGAGATATCCACACTTTTGACTTCTGCTTCGTCCTTCAGGGCCAATTACCTTAAAACTTTGAGCTTACTGGAGAGCAGGATTTGGGGAGGTTGTTGTGCAAAAACCAAAAGAAGGGAGTTGGCTGGCTCCGTTTGGGCCTGCTTTAATCTATGGCCCAATCCTCTTATGGTGAATCATAAGAGGATTCCCAAGCTTTGGGGCAATCACAAAAAGGAAGGAGAGACTAGTCCAATACATGCCAGCCTAATCGTGTTAATCGCAAACTTTACTCAAAAGGTATTTGTGTGGCCTATTTACAAAGATTGTTCATCTTCTTATTCCCACTTTGACTACTACTACAACACAGAGTCTCAAAGGTGCAGTACTTGATTTTTACTGTCCTATACAACGTGAAAAACATGCTCTATCTGCTTTTACTGGTTCCTAATTTGTTGCTCACTTGCCTAATCTGATCCTAGTATCCTAATTATTTACCAGCACCACAATGAGGCCAAACCGGGGTTTACTGTCACTGGAAAGCTAACAACAACTAGCATACTAATGACACACTTCATGTTTTGCAGAGATTAAAACAATCTATAATTAGATAACAAACTGTTTTCACTAAATTACATGAAAAAAACATGACATAAACTGCAAATATATAGTAGCATAGTCATTTTGCACATGTTGGCGTAAAGAGTAACCTCACTCTCGTCTACTTCACCGCTTTTTCATCATCCAACTTCTATTACTCCTCCCCGCTGCTCGTCGCACCTCCTCTTCATCCAATCAGCGCCCAGTCTGAACAATTTAAACCTCCACTGCAGTTACACGGCCACTTCTGTTTGTACAGTGCCCCACCTCCTTCCCAGGCTCCTTATCACATCGTCCCCTTCACTCTCCTCATCCTCTCATCATCCCCTTCTCTCTCCTCAGCCTCTTCTACCTCCAGTGCCCAGGTCCTGGAGAGAAGACTCCTAAAAGTAATTTAATCTGCCACGCCCTACATCGTGCGCCAAAGATAACTCATTCAATAAAGCAGGAGTCTCCAACCTGTAGCTCGGGAGATACCAGTAGCTCGCCAACGGACTGAATTATACATATTGTGCTAAATGACTCAGATTTGCCAGTGTAAATGTATAATTCTGAAGCCTAACATTGTGCAGTAATACATAGATAAAGGTTTATCTTTGATAGGTATGTAACTGTTCCCCATTTAAGGCTTTCCTATGCTCAATTTCTTGTGACCACTAAACGTAGTAGCTCTTTGGAATTTTCTTTCTGTAAAGGTAGCTCGCCAGAAGAAAAATGTTGGAGACCCCTGCAATAGAGCACACTAATATTTTCATTTTGTGTCTGTCTGACTCTTTCCAGGTTGAAATTATGTTATTGTATACACTATTGTCTCACCACGGGCAGGTTGGCACAGCTGGACTTGACCTCGTACTCAATGTAGGCCATCGGGGTCTGCTCCCCGGCCACGCGCCCGTCCTGGGTGTAGCACAGGTCTCGTGTGGTGTCGATGTGGCGGTCCAGCTCATCCAGAGGGTACACGCACAGAGCAGAAGGGTCCGAGGAGCTGGAGGAGGAGGCGCTCAGACGAGAGGAGAACACCCCCAACAAGTGCTCACCCTGCCTGCCCGTCCCACGACCCACCTGGGCAAGTACACAGGGATAGGTTGGCATAATATCTCATGGGTCACTTTATATAAGGGCAATTAACTGAACAACATAAAAAGTACACAACTGGTCAGGAGTTTTAGAACACCACACTTTTTAAATTTTTTTACTGTTTACTGTTGACAAAAACATATTCTAAACTTTTGATTAATGAAAGTGTCCACCATTGGCAGATATAACAGCTGAACATACTCGTGGCTCATTTTACAATAGAAATCAAATATTCTTCAGAAAGTTCTTCCCAAGTCTGTTGCAGAAGTTCCCATAAATGTGTGGCACTTGTAGGTCGCTTGGCTTTCACTCTTCTGTCCAGTTCATCCTAAACCAGCTCGATGGGTTTTAAGTCTGAAGAAGCTGCTGGACACTCCATGTTTTCAAGCTTTACCATCTTGTTCTTTTTTCCTGAGGTAGTTTTGGCAGAGCTCGGACTTGTGTTTTATCATCTTTTATCTTTTTTTAACCTCTGGCTGTTCAGTACTTACCTTTGTACCATTTCAAGCATTTATTGGACTTGCACGACTTGAATTGCAATAAATAACTGGAAAAATTAGGGTGTTCTAAAACTTTTGACAGGTAGTGTATATATAAATTAATTATTATTATTACATTATACAGCATTTCAATTCATTTTACATCACAAACTGAGCAGTAATTTAGTAATACCACCAGGACAAGGGCAGAATTTAACCTAGACTGAACCAGGTGAGTTCCTTTAAAATGACAGACTTGCAAAATAATACACTACTAAATTATCTATCAGCAGAAGGCTATGTACAACATTTTGAGAAACACAGATTTAACTGTAAAGTAACTTTTCTAGTGGAGGGAAAATTATGTGAAGATTATATCAAAATATAATAATGAAAAAAAAATCTCCATGGAGACAAAAAGATGGCCCCACTACGTCAAGTTACATAAGAAGGCAATAGATGTGACCTGTAACTTGACATAGTGGGGCTGTCTTTTTGTCTCCATGGAGACAGATAGGTTAAAGGGATATTGTGGAACATTGTGGAGAAAGGAATAACATCTCCAAAGAGACACTCCACCAGAAAAGTTTACAGTTTATTGATTCATTTAACATGCGTTCTCACCTGTGCAGCTTGGAGGAGGTTGTAGTTCTTATTGGAGGCAGGTGACGACGACAAATTACAAACCAAAGGCACTTCCACATAGGAGTAGTAGGAAGTATCATCAAGACAAACTCTGGCGGCATAGGTCCGGTACTCCCTCGACGTCTCCCCCTTTAAATCCCGCCGATAAAATAGGAAGTACACGTAGCTGCGCCGCGTAAACGCAGTCACAAAATGGTGGTCGTACTCTGCCAGCCGCCCCGCTACCGCCAATTTCGCCGTCTCTTCGTAGGAGAACACCGGGTCCAAGGACAGGTGGCGGGTGGAGATGGGCGGGTGATTGGCTGTGTAGCCCCGCCCCACATACATCACAGTCCCACTCCCAACATGAGGCCGGACAACCAACCCCACTGTGGACACGTTCTGATCATTAGCGGCTACATGTTGCGTGTCTACCGGCCGTTCAGTGGAAAATATCACTTTTTTGATGGAGGCAAGGCTTCTCTTTTGGCATGTACCCTGGTGAACACTTCCACATGTGATCAGTTCTTGTGCGTACGGGTCCAGAAGCAGCAATTTGTTGTAATTGCTGGTTAAGCGGGCGTTATGGCAGTTAGTCTCGGTGATAGGTGGGAAGCAGTCTTTACCATCGCTAACAGGGCCAGTGGTCTCTTCCTGCTCCAGCCGTAGTCCGCCTAGCCCGTCCAGCTGGAAGAGGTGGTCCCGGGCCCCCACATACACGGTGCCCACAGAGGGGTCCGGGTGGAGGGCCAGGTGCTGGAAGATGGTGTCATTTCGGGAGAATCGAGGGTAAGAGCGAGCCAGGGTGGAGGGGGAGAGGAGGGTGGAGAGGAGCAGGAGCAGGGTGCACCTCGCAGCCTTTCCATGTGGCATTGCAGATGTTCTGAAATGGAAAAAGAAATTATTTTTTCTTATTATTTTTTTGTCTTTAAAAGAAAATTAGGGCTAGGCAATAATGCAAAAAAAAATCAATCATATTTTTTCTCATATTGATTTATTTATTCAATAATTTACCAGGTAAGTCAAATGAGAACACCTTGACGACCTGGCAATAAATGTCAATTTTCTATTTTATTATTATTATATTTTTTTCTCTTGTCACAAACACAATTTAAATGTCTATTTAAAGCTCTGTGCATGTTTTAAGCAAAATTTGTTTTGCCCCAGAGCACATAACTGTCCGTTGCATGCTGTCTGCATTTAATTATAAAGTGTTTTATTTTCTGATGATCTGGAAGTGCACTTTGGCATGCTAGTTGTCATTAGCTTTACCATGGCAGCTTTGCTCTGGTCTCTGAACCTTGGAAAATACACTCATAAGCTAATTGCTGTGAATTATATAAAGGTAAGTGAAAAGAGGAGAGAGAAAAGTAGAGGAGAGGTTAAATTTTTCAAATTTTTAACACATAAAATATTCAAATTTTTTTCCCACCATGTCTGAAAACTAAATGCTTTTACTGACAGAGGACTGGCTGATCATTGATGCTTAGAAAAGACTGAATCTCAATTTCAATTAAAATTTCATTATTATTAAAATTAAATAAAAAGAAATTTTAAAACTGAATTCTCACCATCTATTTTCCTGGTTCATTTGAAGATGTCGTCCTTCTTATCACCTGGACTCAGTTTCCATATTTTCTGCAAAAGCACACAAAAATACACCAATGAATAATAGAACAAATGCACAAATTGACTATAAACTATTGATACATTATTATCTTTCATGACTTGCAGTAATTTTGCTTATGTTCACTCCCGCAAAACATCAATCGACTACATTCAATCTGACCACTAGCCTCCACTATATCTATTACCACTGAAGCATTCACAACAAAAACAACTCCCATTTCCCACTCCCTGGTCCATCAGTCAACGCCTCACAGTAGAGTGCACCCTGACAGCCCCGCCATTAGACAAAAAAAACAGTTTAAATATTCACGAGCTGCCCGGGACCTCTGTATGACCTTACAGCGGAGGGGAATGCTAGAATACATGTTGTGCTTCATGTAGCCAGACATGGATTACACAAATTATACATGCATTAAGAATCTGCATAATGACAGAGCTAAGGGTGCTCAAATGACACAAATCACAACTCAAATCGCAACGCTAGCATCATATTACATGCAAATGGCTCAGCTCAGGCGTCCTGTTTGTGGATTGAGCAAAATTATTCAAAAATATGAAATCTAAAAGGTTGATAATAGGCCAAAAAAAAAAAAAAAAAAAGTCTTAGTTCTTCTAAGTTTATGTCAATCTGAAGAAAAAAAGACTCAATATCAATTTCCAAAATATATGAAAATAATAATAGGTAATCGATAATAATAAAGAATAATAAAATAATAAAAACTCTGTCATTTTAGACAATACTGTGTAATTGTCAATAAAAAAAAAGAATACAGACCTGAGTCTCATAATGACAATGATTCAAGAAAGGTCCAACTTTTTTGATTTATGTAAATTTTTTGTATCAATATTTGCTCAAGAGTTTGTCTCCTTATGTAAAGTATCTTTGAGGATCTTGAAAATCACTATACAAGTGTATGTATTATTATTATTATTAAATCTGTTGGTAGTGGCCCTGTGATTAGTTTTAATATTGATTAGTATTTGAATATATATATATTTGACAGCCACTCAAAAACAAGTTGTTCCGTGGCTTGTCAATCTGTTGTCACTGGAGCAATTTTGTTTTCTTTAGTATATCCTAGTAGTATTATAAGATCAGACTCAACCACTACTACAAAGTCCATGTGGTTTAAATTATTAAATTAATCTATCATAGATTTAAGATAATAATAAAGTGTTTTTCTCACATAATTCCCAGCTATCACATTACTTTTTGTGATAAAATAGCGAAAATAGCCAGCAGACAGACACTATTACCAGACTGGAAGAAAAACCAGACTTTTCCAATTTATAAGCACTATAAATTGCAGTTTACAGTTGATATTCCGACCGTTCCCATGCCGGCGTCTCACCAAAGCGTTCACACTCCAGGGGTGCGTTCAAGAACAAAGAAAAAAGTGGGAGCTCCCGGTGAGTGTAGCCGGGGGGCATTGTGAGGCGACCGTGGTGTGTTCGGGTGTGTCTGGAAAATGTGTCTCTGCCTCGCCCCGCTTACTTATTCATGAGCAGGAGCAGAGGTATAATAACTGACACCCTCCAACGTCTAGGGTCATGAGAGAGTGAGAGAAAGAGGGAAGGAGGAGAGAGGAGGAGAGAGGAGAGGTATAATAACTAACACCCTCAAAGTCTAGGGTTAGGAGAGAGGGAGAGAAAGGGGAGGAGGAGAGAGGAGAGGAGTAACAATAAGCACCCTCCATGTCTAGGGTCAGGATAGAGGGAGAGATGAGAGGAGAAATGAGAGGATGAGAGAGAAGAGGTGTAATAACTGACACCCTCCAAGTCTAGAATCAGGAGAGAGAGGGAGAAAGAAGAAGAGGAGCGGAGAGGAGAGGAGGAGAGAGGAGGCGAATAACAAACATCCTCCATAGGGTCAGAAGGGAGAGGAGTGAAAGAGGAGGGAGATGGGATGAGAGAGGAGAGGTATAATAACTAACACTCTCCATGCCTAGGGTCAGGAGGGAGGGAGAGATGAGTGAAGAGAGGAGAAGAGGAGATGAGAAGAGGAGAGAGGAGACGTACAATAACAAACAACATGTCAGGGTCAGGAGAGAGGGAGAGAGAGAAAGGAAAAAGAGAGGGAAGGAAGAGAGAGGAGGCGAATAACAAACATCCTCCATAGGGTCAGAAGGGAGAGGAGTGAAAGAGAGGGAAGGAAGAGAGAGGAGATGTATAATAACTAACACCCTCCATATCTAGAGTCAGGGAGAGAGAGAGAGAGGAGAGGAGGAGGAGAAGAGGAGGAGAGAGGAGGAGAGAGGGGGAGAGGTACAATACCTAACACCCTCCATGTCTAGAGTCAGGAAAGAGGGAGAGAGGAGGAGTGAGGAGAGGTATAATAACTAACACCCTCCATGCCTAGGATCGGGGAGGAGGAAAAAGAAGGAAAGGGGAGGAGGAAAGAAGAGATATAATAACAAATACCCTCCATGTCTAGGGCGAGAAACGGGAGGAGAGAGGGAGAGAGAGAAGGAGAGGTGGAGGAGGGATGAGAGGAGAAGGAGAGAGCAGATGAATAATAACAAACACCCTGCAGGGTCAGGATAGAGGGAGAGATGAGAGGAGAGAGGAGAGAGATGAGAGGAGGAGAGAGCAGAGGTATAATAACTGACACCCTCCAAGTCTAGAGTCGGGAGAGAGAGGAAGAGAAGGAGGAGAAGAAGAAGAGAGAGGAGAGGTATAATAACTAACACCCCCCATATCTAGAGTCAGGGAGAGAGAGAAGAGGGAGGAGGAGGAAAAGAGAGGAGAGGTATAATAACTAACACCCTCCATGTCTAGAGTCAGGAGAGAGGGAGAGAAAGAGGAGGAAAGAGGGAGAGGGGAGAGAGGAGAGGGGAGGAGAGTGAGAGGAGAGGAATAATAAATAACACCCTTCATGCCTAGGGTGAGAAAGAGAGCGAGAGAGGTGAGGAGGAGAAAAGAGAGAGAGGAGAGAGGAGTGAAGAAGAGATGTGTAATACCTAACGCCCTCCATGTCTAGGGTCAGAAGAGAGGAAGAGAGCGAAGAGGTGACGGGAGAAGGAGAGAGGAGAGAGGAGAGGAGGGAGGGAGGAGAGGTACAATAACTAACACTCTTCATGTCTAGGGTCAGGAGAAAGAGGGAGAGAGGAAGAGAAGAGGAGGAGAGGAGGGGAGAGGAGAGGAGGAGGGAGAGAGGAAGAAGAAAGGAGGAAGGAGCAGAGAAGAAGGGAGGAGGAGAGGAGGAGAGGACAAAAAGAAGGATGAACAGCCTGGAGAAAGAGGGAGTAGAGAAGGATGGAGGGAAGAGTGGGCCAGAGAAGACGAAAAGAGAAGAGAAAATGGGAGAGGAGGAGAAGAGGAAGGAAGAGAAGGCCAAAGAAAGCAAAAAGAGGAACAAAAGATGAGTTACAAAGAGCGAGAAAGGAACTGAGATAGGCAGAGAAGTGAGGAAGAAGCAATGGAGAGAGAGGAGGGAGAGAAGGAGGGTACACGGGAGGAGGAGGAGGAGGATAGAACAAGGGAGAGCGGGGAAAAGGAGAGAAGATTATTCAGAGAGATTGTGACCTGGGTTCGTGCGGATGTGATGAAAGCTGTTAGTGTTTACCAGGGTGAAATGTCAGAAAAGAAAATTTACTACAAGATGAATGGAGGAGAACGCAAAACTAACCTTCAAAAAATAGAGAAAGAAGAAATCTCCAGCAGATTCTGAGGCTTGCCTTGCACCTAAACTGCCAGTCCGGGTTTACTGTCAAAGGTGTACTCCATTTGAAGTCCATTTTGTGTCATTACTGCGTGAATGGAATCTCCTGAAAGCGTCCAAGCTACCACTCAAGCTGCCATGATTTGATTAGCAACAAAAACACACAGCTAAATGTCAAATTACTCCCATGACCAAAACTCTAAATGTCTTCCAAAAGAACGTATATACTGTACTTCTGTAGTTTCCATTTCTACAGTTCAGTGACTTTTCTTTTTCCAAATATGGCGGAGTGACTGTAAGAGTTTATTTATAACTGTTTTGACATCACTCCATAGATCAAAACCCCCGTACATACCACTCACAGTGCCAAAATACAGGACAATACATCTCATTCTTCTATAGGGCCATTCACTAAATTTTGTCCCTTCAAAATAAAATGGAGTAGTTTGTATAGTAGAGACTGATGATATAAACAGACTGTAAATAGACTAAATATAAATGGACATAGGTAACCCACAAGCCGCCACATTCAAATAGGAAGTGACCATGGTGGCTGACTCCAGCTGACTTAACATTAAAAAACTGTCACCCCTCTCTCTAACTTTGATCATAAAATGTTCATTTTAACCCACTCTACATGATCCTGGTGTTTTTCACTATTTCGTCCATAAATAAATGTCTATTCCTAATACGGAACTCAAAATTCTGCTGGCCTTGTGAGCTACATTTGACTGGAGCTGAATGCTATGGGTGACGTCACGCTCCCCGAGTCCACCTCTTTATGCAGTCTACGGTCAAATATTGGATTGTTACCCAAAGACTGGGTCATGACCCTCAGGTGGGTCGCAAGAGATTTTTTTTGGTCACCTTGTCACAATCTAGCCTGATTCATCAGCCAGTTTCACTTTGTGGAAATCATCTGACCTTGCAGTATTAGGATTCGTTTGCCAATCGTTGCTATTTGGTCATGACGTATATAATGCGCCGCTAACGGGACAAACTGGTAGATTAAGCTTTTTCCAAATCCCGTACGAAGAAGGGCAATATCGTCTTTCCCCTTGATAAAATTCACCAAACATTCTCTTTGTTCTGGCTTTAAATCCTCAATCTCGAGAATCGTTGTCAACACAGAATGTATGCCTCTTCACTGATTGGCTGGTGCCCGAACTCACATTTCTGGGATTTTTGTGAATTGTCTAGTGTATTCTGATTCTTGACCTAGTCGCTGGAGAGAAATGAAGTTGAGCGGAGGCTAGCCTGACTAGCCTGGCTAGTCACAATTTGCATGTAGGTCTGACATATACAGTTCTCATACATGAGATTTTCTGTGCTCACAAAAATGAAGAAA